TAGCACCATCTTCTTGGAAGGCATCCTGCAACACCCGTGCTTCCACACACTCACATTCCACGATGGCGCCCAAGGTCCGCGCGCTCGATCTGGACAACACCTCCACGGCATACTACGCGCCAGCAACCGTGGCTCCGCCGGGCGCAAAGCTGGTTCATGTCTCCGGCCAGCCCGGAAACACCAAGGACGGCCTGGTCCCCGAAGATTACGAGTCGCAGATCCACCTGGCGCTCCTCAACCTGCGCAAGATCATCCTCGTCGCGGGCGCGTCGGTCAAGGACGTTGTGAAGCTCACGCTCCTCATCGTCGACTACGACAGCTCGGCCCGCAAGCACACGCGCCACATCCAGCGCTTCCTGGGCGGTCACCGGCCAGCAATCACCCTCGTCCCCGTGTCCAAGCTGGCCGTCTCGTCATGGCTGTTCGAGATCGACGCCGTCCTCGCCGTGCCCGAAACCCCGGCGCCCGCGCGTAGCCTTGCCCTGCCGGATGCCAAGGAGTCGGTAGACGTCGTCGTCATCGGCGCCGGCCTGGCCGGGTTGTCTGCCGCCCGGGACGTCCTGAGGAGCGGCCTCTCCTGCGTCGTGCTGGAGGCGCGCGACCGCGTCGGCGGAAAGACGTGGAGCGATCCGTTGCAAGACGGGCAGCCTGGCGCCGTCGACCTTGGTGCGGCATGGATCAACGACACCAACCAAAGCCGGGTCTACGCCTTGGCCAAGGAGTACGGGGCAGAGCTGATTGAGCAAAACACCAACGGGAACGTAGTCCTTCAGGACTTTGATGGAAAGTGCTCGCCCTTCCCCTACGGGGAACTTCCCTTTGTAAGCACCCGCCTCCCCCGTTCCCTATCACGTTCGAGCACGAAGCCAAGGGGGGGGTGTCTTGAACAGCGCTCCGTACTAGAAAAGCGGTCTTTTTGATTAGAGACTCACCCGGTCACAGTTTGACGAGGCCACCCGCAAAGCACTGGCCGGCATCCGCGACATGGTCGAGGCCGACTGCCAGGCCGTCGATACATGGAAGCCCAAAGACGCCAGCCTGGACAGCCTGACGTTTGCGGCGTATCTGCGCCTGCGAGGCGCCGACGACGTGGCCATGGCCACGGCCAACGTGTGGACCTGCGCCATGCTGGGCCAGGAGGCGACCGACGTTTCCGCGCTCTACTTCTTGAACTACTGCAAATCGGGCGGGGGCCTGTTGCAGATGCGTTCCGACCGCAAGGACGGCGGCCAGTACCTGCGCGTCCGCCAGGGCACACAGCTCTTCTCGAAAGGCCTGGCCTCGTCGCTGCCCGAGGGCGTCGTGCGCCTGAACCGGCCCGTGCGTGCTGTTGTCCGGGACGGCCACCCCGGAGACGGCCCCTATGCCGTCAAGGTCCAGACGGACGAGGGGGTTTTGGCTGCGCGCAAGGTGATCACGACTATCCCCGGCCCGGCCCTCAAGAACATCAGCTTCCGGCCGGCCCTTCCACTCCCCAAACAGGCGTGGATAGAGTCCCTCAACTACGGGTACTACACGAAGGCCATGATGCAGTTCGAATCGCCATTCTGGGTTGATGGTGGCTTCTGCGGGCTCGCGCAGTCGTTCGTGGGCCCTGCCAGTGTGATCCGCGACACGTCCATCCCCGCCGACTCCAAACACGTCTTGACGTGTTTCGTGGCGGGCGACCGCGGCAGGGCGTGGGCGGCGCTCGACACGCCGGCCAGGGAGAAGAGCCTCCTTGGCCAGCTGGCGCAGCTGTTCGGCTGCGACGACATCCAGGGCCGGTTCGTCAGGATGAGCACGTACGAGTGGGTAAAGGACGAGTGGTCCGGCTGGGGCTGCCCCTGCACGTCCCTCGCGCCCGGCGTGCTCGATACACTCGGCGGGGACAGTCTCCGGAAGCCTTGCGGAGATTTGCACTTCGCAGGCACGGAGACGGCAGGCGAGTGGAAGGGCTACATGGAGGGTGCAGTCCGGAGCGGAGAGCGTGCTGCTGCCGAGGTTATAGAGGCGTTGACGAGCACCAGCGGCGCCTCTCGACTCTAGTTGAGGGGTTACGACAGAATTCCCAAAAGGGAAAAGAAAAAGAAAGAAAAAAGAAAAAAGAAAATTGTTAAATAGTAACTCCACTTGAGAGATATCAGGGGTCTTTATTCTCTGTAGCGTGATCAATGAGATGTAAGAATTGGACATACATCAATGCACCTTGCAAAACAATATTGCTACAAGCCAAACGGACAAAAAGGGACCGGAAGAGAAGCAGACGGGCCGAGTAGTCGAACTAGAAGAGCGCTAGCTTCCAGTCGCGAGACTTTGTGATATCCAGCCAGTCCACCTTTTCTGAATCCCGCTTCCGGGCTCTGGCCGCCGCCAGCCTCCAGACCTCGTCGAGGACGTCTACGCAGGCATCCACGTTGCGGAACCTTCGATGGCTGTCCAGAGAGCAGAGCCCTCCCCTGATGACCTCGACATGCTCCGTCGTCTCCGCCGATCATGGGCCTGCGGTCAAGCGAGACGCTCATGATTATGTCATGGTATGCAAAGTCTCGAAGAAGCCAGCGCCCCTCGTAGCACCGCAGAAGCGCGCTTTTAGGATCTTCTGCCCGAGGTTGGCAGCCTCCGAGAGGCTGCCGGTCCTCGTCCCTCTCGTCCTCGAGGCACGCTGCGGCCCCAGAGAGGTGGTGGACCCAGTTGTCCGTCCCGCAGGATATAGATTCCATTGAGCAAAGCAGCAACGTCAGCATCCGCCGAGTACGGAGGGCAGTATCGCATCATTACTACCTGACAAGAAGCAGTTGTTGTGCACATTGTTTGTCAACATGAACACCAAGGTGGCTGGCTGTATAGTAGCGAAGCATCATCCGGCGGCTGCCGACGATGTCGCCCGAGCTTCCACGTGCATCAGAGCCGATGGCAGAGCCACAGGCGAATGAATCGTAGATGCCGAGGTGCCCCAGGTCGGGGCGCTGTATACCGTCCGAACTCCCGGGTTTACGTATCTTGCGTGACTCGGGTGCGTCAGGTTGCAGATCGCGGGGTCCTTCCCACCGGCAGACAAGGTTCAAGCGGGGGCAATGGCTGCAAATGGGGTGCTCTTGATGACACTTCTTCTTCCCTCGAGTACGCTATCAGCTACTTTCTAGACAGGGGGGAGGTTGCCCCCTTCGGCTTTGCACGTACCTATGCCGGCAGGTGAGGCATCCCCTCCTTTGCCTAGTGCGGCCTCCACGGCCCGGCTCTTGCTTGGGTAGGCCATTGGCGGAACGATTGCCTTCGGAGCCCCCCTCGGACATTACTCCAGGTCTTGGGTAGTTTTCACAAGAGCTCAGAGCGACAGCTCGGGCCTTGGCAGTACGGGGCAACAAGACAAGGAACACGGGGAGTTGAGGCGAACAAGCTGGATGGAGCCTGGGCCAGCAACGTCAGGAGATGGGATAACTATGGGAAGGGGTCGGTCAATGATAAGATAGATAGCGTAGGTCACGTAGTCATGCACAGCGCTATCGGCGCGGTGGGGTCATTCCTTCGGCCCCACATGACTCGGTCGGTGCCGGCTCTGATGGACTTGCAGCAGATCTGCCGACCCGAGGTGACAAAACGCCAGCTAATCTCGCCATCGGATCTCAGCCGTCCTCACTTGGCTGCCAAGAAACCGGCAATTTCCCACACCGACCCCAAATCTGGGGTTCCAAGCATGGAGATAAGTGGCCCCCTTGCCTCTCCGGACGAGCTTATCGGACGCGGCATCTCAGTATAGCATGCATGAAGATAGTGTCTCAAACAATACCAAGTCAGTGTAATCACCGACGATGGGCGAAACTGCACGATTTTCCCCGTTGTGTGTGCTCATGGTATATCAACCTGCTTCTGTCTTGAACTGGTCTACGGAACTGCCACCGTCATCGCCGAGGTCCACATGTCCCTCCCGGTGACCGGCGGTAGGATGAGCTACTACGACAGCAAGCAAGTACGTCTCGCAAAGCTTTTGGGTTCGCCATGGGCTGTCAACTGTTAACCTGTTCATCAACTACTGGTCTCCGAGCTCCGCCTCCAGCCCCGCCGTCTGGATCACCCACCATCTTGCCTGTATTCGCCTGCCGTGCGTGGTGACGGACGGGCGGCTGGCTCGCAAGTAACCTGATGGTGTTGATTAAGCAGTGAAGACATGAAGCAGTTCCGCCTGCACAACGGTCCAAAAGAACAACACATGGGGTAGGGGGGGATGCCATTACTCCCCCAAGCTTCGCTTCATCAAGGCTTAAATCGTCCCAGGTGAGATATTTCTCAATCCCCGGACGTGTGTGCCTTCTGAAACGCGAATCAAAAAGGGATGATTTCTTCAGCAAGCTATTGGTTTGCTTTACCCCAGGTTTTGCTTTGCTTTTTTCACTTCTTCTGCCGTATACGGTACACTCGTTTAGCTGACATTCCACTTCTTTTCTGGCCAACGATGATAGGCAAGGTAATTACCGAAAAGAGCCAGCAAATCCGCATCGTATGCTGACAGAAGCATTTGATAGGTCAACCTAAATAAAAGGTGGAGTGTCAGTTAAACGAGGAGATACGGTATACGACTTGCTTCTCTTCTCTTTTCTCGTCTCTTCTCCTTGTTTACCAGCTTTTTCCAACCCACTCACTAGAGTCACATCGCTTGTTTTTTTAGCGAGACAGGGGTGAGGGCTTGCCCCTGGATTCCGTTTGCTGAAGATGCAGGTCAAGTCGAGTCAGCATGATACTACTCTACCCATGTCAAACGGGCTCGTAAAAAACAAGAAGTCTCGGTCCCTGAACGCCTAGTGCTGAACGAAGCCTGTCCACTGCCGAATCTCCGATCCCAACTATGTATGGCCCCTGACCATATGGAAATAATGCAAGGTCGCCGTGTTCTCTTTGCCCATTCGCGGTTGAGACGGCCGGTTATTCTGCAAAATGTTACAACATGGTGGGAATATTTGTTTCTTAGAAAGGCGTTACTAAGACTAGACGAAAAAGCATGGGACCAAGCATCTATTTGTCCCTTAATATGGTGCGTACGGCCCGTACCGCCACCGTTTGCTGTTCTCCTCCACCCACCACCGCGTTATGAACGCCGCCTCCTCGACCCAGCGCGCGGGTTCCGGGCCGTGGGCCTCTTCGACCTTGGCAAGGAAGTCTGTGAGCTCGAACCCGAGCACCGGGTCCACGTCGCGCGGGTCCTTCTCGGCGTCCGTGAAGCGCCATTCGATGTTGTCCACCACGGGGACCACCAGCCTCCATGACTTGCGGCGCGCGTCGCGGACGCCGACCATGGCGCGGCCCGGGTTGATGACGGTGAAGTGCCAGTTCCCCACCTCGGCCGGTGGCAGCGGGGAGCCCTTGTAGGCCGTTCCCGGCCGCGACTTCTTCACGGGCCGGATGAGTGATTGCCCCTCGTAGTTTTTGAGGAGGTCGCTGGCTGCGTCGGTAGCAGGCTTCGATAGCGAGCCCGTCTCGATGAGGAGGTCTAGTATCGTCGGTAGGATCTGCTGAGCTGATACGGCGTCGTCGATGGTGATGGGCGGAAGGTTGGGGTGGGACACGACCAACGGGATGTGGTTGCTGGCGATGTTGGGGTTGTAGTACGACGCGAGAATGTCATTTTCCGGAATCGACAGGCCGTGATCTCCCACCAGAACCAAGAGCGTCTCGTTGGCCACGCCGAGGTCGTCCAGCATGTTGGTTATGTTGCCGAGCCACCGGTCGTCGTATCCGATGGCGTTGATGTAGTGCGACAGATCGTCCAGGCCCCTCCCCAGCGGCACGTACTTCTCGTCTGCGGGCATTCCGTACGGGTGGTGACTCGTGCTCGTGAGATGCGAGATATAGACTCGCTCGTTCGTCTTCTTGGCTGTCTCGAACCGGTCCCGCATGTAGTCTTCGAGGGGTGTCTCTTGCATGCCGAAATAGTTGACGTCTTTCAGGGTGACTCGGCCGAACTTGGCGGCGGCGCTCCTCAGGTACTCGCTGCCTATCAGGCCGTCTGCGGGGAAGCCCATCTTGGGCAACAGTTTGTCGTACTTGTCAAAGGTAATCGTCACGGACTGCATGTATGATGAGTTCCACTTGTACGGGGTAAAACCGGGGGCGTCGCTTTGGTCGAGAGTGTTGAGGACGTCGAGGACTTGTGGCAAGCACGGCTGGTAGATGTGGTGCTCGTACTCGAGGTTGAAGTCGGCAAGTAGAGGTGAGATACCGCAGAGGGTTCCTACGAGGCTCTTAATGGTGTACGTCGAGGTCGTGTATGCGTCGTTGAAATTCAGGCCGCCCCTGCTCTTCTTCTCTTCACTCCCGTGGTCGAAGCCGTCGTCGTGGTCGCCAGTCAAGAATCTGGCAACGGGAGTCAGGGTCCTGAGACGCTCAAGTGCCTCCTCGGGCATCTTGCCGTCTTCCCACGAGGCTTGCAGGCGTGCTTTGTTGATCCCGTCGTTTTTGATGGGGAACAGGTCCTTCCTCGTGCTTTCCAGCACGATCGTCACGATATGCCGTATCGGTACCGTGTCTTTGAGGTTGCCTAGCTCAGGAAGCAGGTCGCTGTCGAGGTTCGAAATCTTGAGGGGGTCTGCCGCCGCATTGTAGTGTGGTTTCTTGTTGTACCAATCCTCGAAGCCCTGGGGAACAGAATCCTTGGGCAGCCAGGAGAGTGGAATTGGGTCGGTGAGGGCTGTCCGCTTATCCCAATTGTGGTTGATCCCAGAGTTGTAGTGGGGAACGAGTTCTTCCAGGCTCGGAGACGAGTTCTTGAAGTCAACAAAGGGAAGAAGCGCCGGGGTCCAGGACATGAAAATCAGAGAGCTCTCACGAGGACGGATGATGCACAGGATGGCCTGGGCGAGCAGCGCAGCAACAGCCAGAGCGTACGCTGCGATCCAGAAGAAGCGTACCCAGGGCCAGTTCTTGATGTCCTCCCAGCCACCAGGGAAGCCGAATTTTTTCTGCTCCCCGTCCCCTTCCTCTTTGATACCGTGCTCAGCATCCTGCTGAGGGACGCTGAGGTATGTTGCGGCGGGGGAGTCCTGGGATCGGAGGCGACAGCGGCGCGCTACAGACGCGAGGGGCCAGCATACGACATCTGCCAAAAGGCCCACGGCGACGAACAATATGTCTTTCAAGGGCCAGGCAACCAGGATCATGACGGCGACGACCAGAATGGACGAGACCATGCCGGTCAGCAAAAGAGCGCGGCCGGAGGCGTCGCCCGCAACCCCTATGTTTTGCCAGTGGATCTCGGAGCGGGCCACGGCAAAGAAACAGATGTGGATGACGTTCAGGCTGATGACGAAAATGACGAAGATCCAGCTCGTCACGGCTGCCATACGGCGCAGAAACCCTTCGCTGCGGGCAGACAAGAGCGATCCCCCGAGCAGCAGCCGCAGGACGACCAGCAAGACCAAGTCCTGAGCAAAAAAGGAGTACCCCCATTGCACCAGTTGCACCGTCGGTATGGCAGAGGCGTGGCTGCCGATGTGGATGAATTTGGCACCGAGGACGGCGAGGGCGGCCAAGCTGAAGACAAAACGAGGGTTGGTGAAGCGCGAAGCCAGACCAGACACCAACAGTCGAGACCACAGCAGCGGCTGGGCCGCAGCCTTGACTAGACGACCATTCTCAGGGCCTAGCAACGAGTAGCCGAGTCGAGAGTCAAGGCGCATGCTGTGGGAGGGTGAGATGGAGAGGAGGGAGGGAGGGAGGGAGGGGGGAGGGAGGACAGAGAGAGCGAGAGAGTTGGTCAGAGGCGTGTCGAGTGCAACAAACAAGAAGAAACAATCAGTCAATGAGCGTAAAGATGACTGGCATGGCTTCCTCTCACGACGAAACGGGCGGGGAGGGAACAAGACGACGGAAGGGGAGCAAGGAGAAGAAAGAAGGAAACTGGGAAAGTTACAGCAACAGCAGCAACGAGATGAAATACAAAAAGAGGCATGGAGAAAAGAAAAGGAGATGGAAGCCTCCCTCCCCCCCCCCACCCCCAGTCATGATGGAAGGGCCCCCCCAGTCACGTTGGATGGTGATTGTGCGTGTGCTCGGCCGCCAACACTGTGAGCGGCGGCGGCTGTTGGGTGGATGGATGGATGAATGAATGAATGAATGGATGAATGGATTGGATGCCTGTCACAACAACACAGCTACCCAGCTACCCAGCTACCCAGCCAGCTCCTTCGGACGGGGCCGTGAGGATCTGGGTTGTTTCTGCCCGGGTTTGCGGCAACGTAAAAGATTGGTTACCACCTCAGCAGATGCCCAGGCGCGTGTGTTGTGACAGGAGCTGGGAAAAGCTAGAAAGTTCCCCATACGGCTGTGACGGGTCGACAGTCATGACCCCTGATCGTGATCCCTGCAGCATTAACTACTACTAGTGTGGCTTCAGCTCTGGGCGCCTTGGGCGAGAAGCGTTGCCAAGTGCTTCCCAGTTAGGAATACGAGCAGACGACCAGCCAGCAAGCGGGCTGCCTTGCACGAGGAAGATCCTTATTCACCTACTTTATTTCTACGTGAAGTAGCCGTACCGTGCCTGTGGACAGGACGGGTTCCATTGAAGATTGCCACTTTCTTCCGCTCCCTTCCCCTCCCCAGCCCACAGGGGCGCGGCTTGACTCGATCCCCCGCGATGAGCCAATCAATCTCCCGTCCGACGTGGTAAAGGCGTGTACCGGTATATTCCTGGAGTCGGCGGACGGCACCCATCTCATGTACGGATAGACTAAGTAGTAATATAGTAGACACGACACGCCCGTTCCCCGTCAGGACAACCCGGCCGAAACAAGCTTTCCGTCTTGCATCTCGTCTCACACACACACACACACACACACACACACACACATACAGAACGACGGTCAGTCTGAAGGACACACAGTAAGACATACATACCTACACTATACTTGGGTCCTTCTCCTATTCAAGGCAAGACAGGCAGGCAAGCAGATTCTGTCACGTGCAGGCAGGGGGCCGTCGCATCACTCCACCGCCCCCTTTTACTACAATGTACTACATAGTATTCGTGATTTATGATGACGAGCTGAACGTCGCGTTGTTAGGGCGTCGCGCGGGACCCGTGAAACGCCCTTTTGGAGTCGTAAGTAGCGTACCTCGTTTAGCATCCGTACGGATAACATAACTTGGATTCGGAACCTTGCTGCGTGGAGACCAAGAAGGGGGCTGCGCATCGCCATCAGTCCATAGGCAGGGGTGCATATGACAAACGTATTGACTAGTGGCAGTTTACACTAACCTGAGCAAACAGCCGCTCGTTAATAAAGACTAGTTAGTTGAAAAATTCCTTGGTTTGCCCGGTCCCAAGCGAGATGATGTGGGCACACGGCAGTTTGCCATGTACGATGTACCGTATGTATCCGTACAATATGCCCATTCCAGCCTTCATTCAATGTCTGCCGCCGGCCCCCATTGCATTTACATCCCTGGTTGCTCGTCCCAAACTGCCGCTCTTGTGAGACCTTGGCTTTCTGCTCTCTGGCCCCATGACGGTGTCTGTTGGCATCCTTTACGTATCCATCCATCCCTTATCCCCATCCGATACTTCATCGTTACACAACTTAAACTACTCCGCTTTCGACTCCGGACGATGAAGCTGCTCGGCTGGCTGTGGATACGCCAAAACGGTTTTCTCTCTCTCTCTCTCTCTCTCTTTTTTTTTCTCCCCAGGTTCAGTGCAGCACGTAATTAGACAGTCTACTCTCGGTTACCTCGGCTGTGCGGGAACCGCCATCATGCCCCCGGAGGGTACCAACCAACCCCTCTTGTCGACTCATCATCGTCAAGTCTGCATGATAATTACCCGACAGGACAAGAAAACACAACACCGCTCCACAGTAGGTGTTGGAAGCAAGAGTGCCTTGTGAAACCGCCATAGCCCCGTCTATTGCGTCGGCTCTCGGGATGACGGTGTGCACATCCGCCATTCATTCATACGATCGCGCGACCTTTCCACGCCGAGCCCTTCGCCAGCTACGGCGAAAGGGGAGCACCAAGATGGCTTGCTTCTTCGGAAGATCGAGACCCCCGGACCCCATCGTTGAGTCCCGTGGACAGGAGAGTTCCGTCTACGCAAGCCTGCGAGGCTAGGTAGGCATCTCCAGCCAACACACATGAAGGTTTGTGGTTATTCTGCATCGGTAATGTTTGTTCGTAAGGTTTTTTTTCTTTTCTTTCTTTTTTCTTTTTCTTTTTTGGGTTCTCGTCCCGACACAACGACACCTAAATCAACTCGTTTCCCGAGAATGTGGAAGCCAATCGTAAACCTACCACCCCGAACCAGCGCGTCTTGCGAACCATAGATCGGATCGGGAACTGAATGCCTTTTGGTCCTATTCAACCTGAACAGACATGTGCTTACTCGCCCCGCCGCCGCGGCATCACGTTCTCCATCTTGACGCACTTCGGCTCCCAGAGGTCCGTCTCGTCCCCCATCCACCAGCGGCCCCGCCCCGGTATGCCACCACCAGGCCCCGTGTGATCCCCTCCCCGACTCCCGCCCAGCCCATACTCCGGTGCCGGCCTAGGCCGCCTCCCGCCGCCGCCGCCGCCGCCCCAGACGGACTTCACCAGCGGCCACATGGGGATGTAGCACCGCTCGTCCCACCCGCACACCCTGCCGCACCGGATGAACTCCCCCTCCCATCCCACCCAGGCCCGCAGCCGCCGCACGGCGTCCGCCCACCCCGCCGCCTTGGCCTCCAGCCCAGACCGCCGCCCCTCCTCGAGGTCGTACCACGCCCCCTCGATCCCGAAGCCGACCTCCAGCAGCACCCCGCAGATGCTGCCCATGACCTCCTCCGCCGCGCCCCTCAGCTCCCGCTCCCTCGTGCTCAGCGGCACGCCCACCAGCAGCCTCGTGTACCGGTACCGGCACAGCGAGTACGTCTCGCCGAAAACCGCGCCCGACGTGTCCCACGTCCCCGCGTCCACCTCGTGCGGGTACTCGAGGAACGAGACGAGGAACCTGTGGCTCTGCCCCCGCACCCGGTACAGCCACTCCTCCACCGCCGTCCCGTTGCCCCAGTCGCCGCCGAACCGAGCACCCTGCTCGAGCGCCGTCAGCTGACCCGCCGTCCGCTGCACGATCTCCCCCATCGTCCTGACCCAGTCCATCCCGCTGCACCCACCGCCGCCCGCCACAGCCTCCCGCAGCATCACCTCCGTCTCGAACCTCATGCCCGCCGCCTGCGCCGCCGTCGCACCCTCCAGGTGATGCAGCCGACGCCGCCTCCCCAGCTCGTTCATCGCCACCGCCCGGTCTTCGTCGCCGCCGCCACCCTGGCCTCCGGCCCAGTACCCCTCCCCGGTGAGGTTCAGCCTCTCCTTCTCTTCGCCAACGATGGAGCCCCAGGCGTCCTTCGAGTACCAGCTCGCGATTCCGCAGCTCAGGACCCGGGCCCGAGTCTCCCCTTGTCCCGCCCCGTCGCCGTTCGATCCGTAATGCCATGTCGCCGCCGAGAACCACCCCCACCCCTGGCTCTGCAGGAACGGCTCCCGGTCGACGGGGCCCATGATCCCGCGCCAGTTGGGCGGCATCGGAGGGCGGGACGGGCTCACGGGCCGGTCCGTCAACGTCGGTTGCGCCGGCAGGGGGTACGCCGACGTCGGCGCCGTCTCCCGGTCCTGCTCGCTCCGTTCCGGAACCTCTTCGTCCCCACCACCACTCCCCCCTCCGCTCTTCCCGCTTATCTTCCTCGTCTGTGGCGCCGTCACGTTCGTCTTTGAGACAAGCCTCAGGCTCCCGCCTGCAAAGTTGCACCATATCATCTCGAAGCCCGCGTTCATCCTCACCACGCCCTCGATCCCCCACCCGTCGCCCCTCAACCGCCTCTCCAGCAGCCAGTCGCAGAGCCCCATTGCCCTCTCGTACTCGGGTTCCAGCCCGCGCCAGCGCCCGTCTCCGCGGCCCGGCCCGGAGACGTTGCCGTAGAGGTGCAGCATTTGCGTGTCCAGCTGGCCGAGCCCCATCAGCGTCGCGGACTCGCCGTCAAAGTAGAGCGCCTTGACGGGCCGCGTGGTCTGGTAGGTGAGCATGAAGCTCTGGCGTGTGCTTCCCATGATTCCGTAGGCCATTTCTCTGCGGCGATTCGCTGTGTCAGCTCAGGGATCTATCTGCAATACAAATGTTTGCCCAAGGAGACGTTTGGACGATTTGAAAATCATGTAATATCCCTTTACCGCACGCAGAACAGCCTGGTCTCAAATCTCCCGCGCATCAAAACGACCAAGCAGCACACGGGCAAGGCGAGGAAGCGCCGGACTCACAAATCAAAGGCAAGCCACTCGGGGCTCGGCGGCCCCTTCTCGTCCATCCGCCCGTGGTAAAACAGCGTGAAGGCCGGTATCTCCACCGCCGCCATCGTGTGCCCGTTCGGAAACACGGTGTTGCTCCACTGCTGCAGGAGCCCGTACGTCGACGCGAACAGGTGCGGCCCCGGCGACGAGTAATTCAGCCTCGCCGCGTGCCACGACGGAATGGGTGCCGCCCCGGCTGGCCATGGCGTTTTGGCGTCTGGGAAAGCCCCGAGGCGCTTTTGCGAACCGGCCTCAGCAAGGGCCGGCTGCGCCGCGAGTACGCTGCTCGCTAACAACAACAATAGACTGCTTGGATACATCGTGATGGCAATATCATGCGCGAATTGAACAAGAGGCGACTCTGGAATGATATATTCGCCACCCGCGACCGAAGCATTCAAGCTCTGGTCTCATGTGTGCCGATAGAATTCCTTATCAAGGCCCCGACTCAAGGCAAGTTTGGCCCGGGAGTTGGTTGGTCCAATCAATTGAACGCGCGGCAACATGCATCACCTTGCCAGAAACGGACAAGGATCTGTCTGACGGGCTTCAAAGCATGGGAAACGGACAGTCAGTATGCACCCCATCAAAATGGCTTTGCGAGGAACAACAATTCGAAACAAGTTCCTTGTACACTTAGCGACGTTGCTATCGCATTCTGTGCCATGTACAACCAATCTAATAGTAACCTCAACGCCGTACCCAACCGTTAAATCCGTGTCCGTGTGCAAACAAACCAACGCCATAATAAAACAATGCCCGCACTGCTCAACCGACAGCCGGGGGTGGACAATAACAAAAAACACAGCTATCTATTTCCAGGCCTTGGCCAACGGGCTTCCCACCTTGGGAGCGAATTGCAAGCTCTTTCTACGAGCCGCCATCAGGCGCTGCATGACGCTCTCGTCCTTGTCCCTGTTGAGGATGCCATCGCCCATCTGAGCGTAGTTGTTTGGTTTGGGTGGGCATGTTTGCATCAACAGCGCCTTGGTCGGAGACGAGTCATACTCGGTTGATGCGGAGGGCGTCTCGGCAGCATAGCGAGCAAGCGCCTCCGGTGCCGGCGTGGCGGGAACAGGAGAGATCAGTCCCTGCCAGTCATCCTCGTCGTCCTCGGCCTCGTCCGAAGGCGTGTGCATCCAGACGGTGCTGTCACGTCGGTTCATGGGCGTGTTCGGCGCCGTCCTGGCCTCGCGGCCAGCCTTGACGGGTGTAGGAACGAGCATGCCATTCTGGTTCGCCAGAGCCCTCGGTTCCATGCTCTTGCGGCGGCGTGCGCCTCCTCGGGGAACCAACGAGGTGTCAATGTAGTAAGGTGCCTCATCAAGCCACTCGTTCTCACGCTCACAGCTGCATGTTTGGTTAGCATGGCATTCTTTTCAACGGACGAGAGGAGGCACTTACTCGAGGACCCAGCTGACACCAACGCACTGCACCACGCCGTTGGACTCTCTGACCTTCTCCATCGTACGCTTGCCACCATCCTTGAACACGACATGGGTAATGCCGATCTTGGCGGCATCCGAGCTGCTGGTAGCGCTGGGGTTCCATGTCCAGGTCTTGACGCATCGTGCTCCCATCTGAGCGAGAAGCTCGACAAAGATGCCGCTGGCGTCCGCACCCTCCGTGGTGTGCACATCGACAAAAACGACGGCACCGCGGAGGAGCCTGGGGTTGAGGTCTCTGCGAGGAGTGCGAGCTGGTGTTCCCAGACTCGACCAGACATCGGACTTGGCCGGTGTGACGGGCGCGAACTCAGCCTGGTTTTCCTCGCTCTCCTCCTCGTCTTCCTGCTCCTGCCCCTCCTCGGCCTTGTGCTTCCGGCTGGGCGAGTAGGATATGACAGTGGCGCTTCGGTTGAGGCTCGGGCGGCTGGCCGGAAGTCGGGATATGCTGGCCGCGCGCTTCTTCTTGGGGCGCGGAGTGGACTCGTCTGAGGCCTTGAGAGGAACCTTGGAAACGGTATGGAACTCGCGCGCAATGACTCGGTTGGGAGTCATGGGCGGAACAGAAGCATCGACATTGAACATGGCAGGATCAACGGGCATCTCGTTTTCATCACCATATTCTTGGCTCGCCTCTGACAGAGTGTCGTCGAAGCTGTTGGAAGTGTTGACGATCTCGTCTAGCTCCTCGGGCTCCAGCAGAGACATCTCGTTTGCCTCAGCGGCCAAGGCCATATCTTCGGCGGTGACCATGAGGTCGTCGAACTCCGGGTCCTCTGCGTCTGCAGCAGCCTCGATTTCGGCATCAATAGCGGCCTCAATTTCGTTCTGCGCATCCATGTCCGCTCGGACAGTCATCTCATCCTCGAAGTAAGTGCTTCGAAGAGGGGATTCCTCTACGCGAGGAGCCCCGGCAGCCGGAGTAAGTCCTTCAGGTGCCTGGGCCAACGAGCGCCCCGGGGTGACGGCGCACCTGGGTGTCTTGACGGGACTGGCAGCAGACCAAGCGTTCAGCTGCTGTGCCAAAGGGGTAAAGCCGATGTTGGAGATTCTCGACTTGGCGGGGGTAGGAGTAGCGGGAATCAATTTGTGAGCTGCAGAAACGCGGGGACTATTGGCAAGCTCGTCGTCTGAATCAGAGTCTATGTTGTTGTACGGGTCCATGTCCTTTTGACGCAGACCGAAAAGACCGCTGGGTGCATTGAAAGCAGCTCGTGTAGCCTCTTGTGGTTGGGACTTGAAGTACGACTCCTCGTCAACCATCATAGGCTCTCCGTCAAACTCGGCATCATCGGCAAGGTTGTTGTCCGTGAAGACATCGGACTCCAGAACCAAGCCGGTTGGCTGAGAGCATGTGTCCTGCTTGATTTGCTGCGCCTGCTCCTTGGCAGCCTCAAAAACCGGCATGTTCTTCTTCAGAACAGGGTCGGCATGCCTGGGAAGAACAGCTGAAAGACGGCCGGGGAATTGCATGGGCTCTTCCAGGTGGATGGATTCGTTGAGCATGGCTTCCGCGACCTCATCCAGCTCGTCGTCTCCGTCGTCGTCGTCGTCGTGAGCGTTCGACTCCTCGGCCATGAGCTTCTCGGATGAGCGCTTCACCGGACGCAGAGCTGTCGGTGTCGACAAAAGCAGAGACTTTGTGGCGGAGGGTTGCGTCTGCTCTGATACCTCCGAGGGCTTCATGTTCATACCCTTGATGGGTGAAAGCGGCCGCTTGGCCGGTGACTGAAGCAGAGATGCCTTGAAGTTGGAGATCTTCCTCTCTCCCTCATTGGCCGGGGGCAAAGTGAAGGCCTTCATGGCAGACTGCGGGCGCTTGGCAGGGGAATGAAGAAGTGAGGCTTTCAAGGGCGAGGCGGAGCCGTCTTCAGCACTGGGGTTCACGGAAGAAGTGGGTTTCAGCAGTGACACGCCCTCGGCGCGCTTGGCCGGAGATTTCATCGTATCTCTGTAGGGCGAGGTAGGCAGTCTCTTGGCTGGCGAGGCGAGGGTGTTGGTGACCTCATCCTCTTGGGCCTCTGACTTGGTGCTATTTTCGTTGTCCTCGGCATTCCTAGTTTCGGGGGCCTTATCGAGGGGCAACAGGTTGAGATTCTTGGAAGAGGCAAGGGCGCTGGCAGGGGGTTTCACAGGGCTCTTCATCAGGGGTCTCGGGGGCGTGTCCGGACCGGCCAACTCGTCGTCGGAGCAGTCGCGAGGCATAGACACCTGTGTGACCTTCTTAGGGCTCAGGGGAGTCTTCTCCGACTTGGAGGTGGAGGTGGCAGCGGCAGGCGCCTTGATGATACGAGGAGCCTTGGGGACGGGGGGCTTTCGTACCGGTCTGCCTCGGAGGCCGGTGCCAGTCGTGGGCTTTTCGGTCGTCTTCTTGCTTGCGTCAGGAGCGATGTTTTCCTTTTCGGGTTCTTGGAATGTTACCGTCTTCTTGACGGCGGGCTTTGCTGTTGTGACCGGCGCTGTGCGAGTACGATTCGTCGTCGTCGTCTTCTTCACCGGCTCCTCCTCCTTGGCGGGAGCGTCTGCAGTTGCCGTCTTTCTGGGTCGACCGCGAGTGGGCTTCATAGGCTCTTCTTTGGGGGCGGCAGGCTCTGTGGTGGAGACCTTGCGAGTAGCAGCTCGTGCACGCGTGGCCCTACCTGCTGCGCCGCTTGATGATGATGAAGCCGTTGATTCGGCAGGCTCCTCTGTGACCTTCTTTGGACGGCCTCTTGTCGCTCTTGTAGGACGAGCAGCTGTTTCTGGCTGTTGCGATTGTTCATCGTGTTCTTCATCTTCGCCATCGTCGGCTCGGGTCTTCCTCTTGGCTGAAGTGGATCGTGTCGGAGCAGTGGCACTTGACTTGGCCTTGGCCGCAGCAGTAACAACTCTTGTGGGTTTCGTGCTCGTCGTGGTTTCGCCAACTTTTGCAGCTCTGGAGCGTGTGATGCGCTTAGGGGGCGATTGGGGCTCCATTGTGTGGTGTGTGTGTGCGTGTGTGAAAGTCAGGGGAAAAGGAAACAAAGATGGAGTAGAAGAGGTCGCGTAGTTCTTGCTGGCGGTTAGTATAATGAGGTTTTGTCGTGCGTTATGTTGTTGTGTATTTACATGATGCTGTGATGGATAGATTGGCAGCTCAAAAAGCCAGGCAAGAGCGGGCGGAGGGTTTTGTTGATATGCAGCTTCGCGTAATCAATGTTGCCAGGCCAACGAGATGCCGGGGATCCACTCTCGGAACGCTGCAACCCTTGCCCGCGTCCTGGTCCTGATGGCTGTATGTCAGGTGCACCCTTGGCACCTGGCGCCACGGCTCTGCCAGCCGCCGGGGGTTCTCCCTGTCTTCTGTCTCACGGGGGTTCAACAATACGACGTTCGAGCTATGTCGTACAATTACGGAGTACACCACTCGGGTACACGAGTCTAAACACCACGTCATCGGTGGCCATCCACTGCAATGGTTCAGGTCAAACATCCCTAACCCAGTTGTTGTTGCTTCCAGGCGGCAACAGGATGCCTGCGTGATCCTGGTTGTTGATAAACAACGGCATCGTCTGCGAGTGACGCATCTGTCCGACCTCAAGTTGTCGTGGGAGGTAGCTTAGCTACGCTACGTATGATCCGGTCTGTCGAGACACGCACAACGCACCGAGACCCGGTCTCCTGGTTTTCTCCATTGTTTCTTATTTTCAGCGATAATACGCATCGACTGCAGCACAGACATAAGCCACGGATGTCCAAGACCGAAGCCAAGGACGTATTCCTGAAATCACATGACGAGACCACTAGTCAGAAGCAGGCGATCCGTTATGATGGCGACGGCATCTCACCGGAACTCGTCTGCAGTCCGAATGTTGCGCAGAGCTATCGACAGACCTCTCTAGGCTCTTCTGGATCCGAGAGCGAACCGCTCTGGTGTACTCCAGTCGATGACATGCCATACACATTGACATGTACCACCATTCCTGCTACGTCGGCCCCCAAAAAGTTCTAAAGGAGTCTCAACCATGGCTGGCGTGGGATCGCTATTGGGTCCGCGGGAAATTCATGCAGGTCGCAGCGCAGGGCAAGCCGAACGCTTGCTTAGTTAGCTAACACCAGGGCGCAAGCACACATCTGGACAGTCACGTACGAATAGTAGCTGCGTCTTCCCCGGAGACGAGTCCCGCGGCACGGCCCTGTCCAAGTGCCACTTGGTGGCTTGACTTTGGTGCCGAGGTCCTGCGTTGGCGCCTTCTCTGCGGGAGAAGGCGGTCAGGGATTGGTTTTCTTCCAACGACTAGTCACTCAGCGTAAAATCGTCTTATTTCTGTGTGCCTGTAAAATTGCGTCGGGGACCCAATTGAAGGATGCGGAGGTATCGTGGGTATCGTGGGTCTAACTCCGGACCCAAAAGAAAGAAAAAGATAAAACGAAAGCTGACTAAGACACAAAGGACATCAGTCGTCGTTGAAGAGTTCAAGTGACCATTTGCCCGTTGTTGACGCTCGGTAATCCTCGGCTCGTGGCCCAGACCCCTGTACTAGAACTCAGCGGGCCTCACCCGCCCGCTCAGCGGCCCCAAGAAGTTCCCCAATTTACCGCTCGTGCGCCACGGCCCACGGCTTTCCCCCCAAAGGAACAACAGTGCAATGAGAGGGAGCCTTCTTTCAAAACCTCGCCTTTATGACGTCCCGCCCCCATCGCATTTCGGCTTAAGACCTTTTCCCATCCCTTCCCGCATTGCTCTTTCTCCACGTTCACCACCCCACGATCCTTACCCTGCTTGCGTACCAGTACAGCTGCTTGCTTGCTTGCTCCCTTTTCGCTTTTCTTGTCTTGTTCCGATTCGACACCCCGGAACCACCCGTCAACTGTACCGTACTCTTGCGACAACGCAAGCAGTGGAATGCTTCTCGAGTAACACCGGGCTGTTCCCTCACCACAAATTACCAACGAACGAGAGCCGCCGATCGTGCTAACCAGGGAATGCCGTCAGCGCTGCTGGAACATGCCCCCATGTCGGAGATAGCACCAAACAAACAACGAGATGCTGTGCGACTGAAGCCGGACATGCCCCCGAGGGCGCCTCCCGTACGCCCCACCGACGATGACGGGACGGTAGCGACGAGGAATCAGACGCGGACCTTTGATTACATCTGGCGGTCCGGCGTCGCGGGAGGCTTGGCGGGCTGTGCAGTAAGTAGAAAACCCACGGAGTTATATCTCTCAACACCCTACCTACGATGGCGGCTTCTCTGACCTTGGCCAACACTGCAGGCAAAAACGGTTGTCGCACCTCTCGATCGAGTCAAGATCCTGTTCCAGGCGAGCAACCCCCAGTTCGCAAAGTATACGGGCTCGTGGTTCGGCGTTGTGACGGCAATGAAGGACATCCGCTCCCACGAAGGCCTCACAGGGTTGTTCAGAGGGCACTCGGCGACGCTGATCCGAATATTCCCCTACGCCGGCATCAAGTTCCTTGCCTATGAACAAATACGCTCCCTCGTCATTCGCCGGAAGGACCAAGAGACGCCTTGGCGCCGGCTCATCAGCGGCTCCATGGCTGGCGTCACTTCCGTCTTCTTCACATATCCCCTCGAAGTCATCCGTGTCCGTTTGGCTTTCGAGACAAAACATGGCGGCTCCTCATTAGTCAACATTTGCCGCCGGATTTACAACGAGCGTTTTGTGCGGGCCTCCGCTGCAGCACAAACGGCAAGTACCCCGGCAACCGAGGCGACGGTCGCCTCGGCAGTGGCCGCCGTCGCGCCACGGTCAGGATTGATCAACTTTTACAGAGGCTTCACGCCGACTTTGCTGGGCATGCTTCCTTACGCCGGCATGTCCTTCCTCACGCACGATACCGCCGGCGACCTTCTCCGCCACCCCAGTGTCGCCAAGTGGACGACCATCCCTCAGCCAAAGGACTCGCCCGCGGGGAAGGCCGTGCCGCTGCGGTCCTGGGCTGAGCTCCTCGCCGGCGGTGTCGCCGGTCTCGTATCTCAGACTGCGTCGTACCCTCTGGAGGTCATTCGCCGGCGGATGCAGGTTGGCGGCGCCGTCGGGGACGGCCACCGACTCCGTATCAGCGAGACGGCGGCCATGATTTTCCGAGAGAGAGGATTGCCGGGGTTCTTTGTGGGCCTGACGATCGGCTATGTCAAGGTGGTGCCAATGGCGGCAGTGGCTTTTTACACGTACGAGCGCGCCAAAATGTGGCTCAGAATCTAGACCAGCTATCCTGTTGCGAAGACTGTTTTGAGCTTGGCGTTGTTGGGACACTCTGGGAACAAACAAGCATTCGTGGGGCTCTTCTTTTTGGTTTTACTTTTATGAAATACGCCGTTAGAGGAGCAGTCTCTCGGGAACAGGAGTATGATGGAACGCTAGAATGGCGGCTAACTGTATACTGCAATTGTTGAATAAGCAATTGTATTTGTTCCGTTACATGCGTGGTCCGACTCTCCTATTACCTACACCGTCGTTGCTGACCTGCACAAGGTACTCTCAACCGCATTCCTCGGCGGGTGGCGCGCGTGCTACAGCTAAGCTAGCTTTAAGGAAATGATTGTTCATGATTCATACCTCATTCCTTCACCTCGCCGACACATTTCGTTATTTCGACGCCGTCCTAGATAGACATGGTCAGCAAGGGGGAACTGCGGCGGTGGGCTGTAGGAAGCGAACTCACAGGCACGCCGGTCGGCTCAAAGCTGTCGACCAGCCGGCTCTCGTACTCGAGGTTCGGGTTCCCGATGCGCGACGAGTCCAGCCTCTCCTCGCCCTCGCGCTTCTCGTACTGCTTCGCCGCGCGGTCGTCGTGCCACCCGCTCAGCCCCCCCCTCGCCTTGCCGACGTCCCGGGCGGCAGCGGCGCGCTTCTGCGCAACCGAACTGCGGACGTACTCGAGGTACGGCGGGTTGCCCGGCTTGATGACGTTGTCGGCGGCGAGGACGGAGCCGGGGCCGACGACGCCGAGCTGCTCGCAGAGCTTCAGGTCCGTGGTGTAGGCGGGCTTGTAGTGGTCCAGGAACATGAGGTCGACCCTGGGGAGCGAGCCGGCGGCGTGCAGGCGCGCGATGGAGGCGTCGCTAGGGCCGACGACGACTTTGACGGTGGCGGAGAGGCCGGCGAGGTCGACGAGGGAGCCAATCACCGCGGCGAACTCGGGGTTGCGCTCGAGGGAGTAGTATTTCGCGTCCGCGACGGCGGCGCGGGCTGCGGCTCCGAAGAGGATGCAGGAGTAGCCCACGTAGCCTCCCAGTTCGACCTGTTTGGCAGGGAAGGGACGGTTCAGACATTAGATGAAGTTTCTCAAGGTCATACCGGGGGGGCGGGCGGGGGGGTTTCACGGCTTTCAGATTGAAGCCGAAAATCATCGGATGATGGACAAACTCAATTGTGACTGTGGGACCTGCGGGTTGGGATGGGGGGGCTTCTCACCATGACCTTTGGCTTGACCTCGGCAATCAGATCCGTCACGATCTTCCCCTTGTCCTCACCGACGTTCATGAGATACTTCCTGGTGCGGCCAAAGTCGTCAATGGCCTTGAGGACGCGCTCGGGGGAGCCCCGGATCTCGTCGAGGTCTGGCTGGCTGTAAACGAAGTGCAGGAGCTCGATCTCACGACCGTCGTCGAAGAAGACATCCTCTTGGACGGCGTACGCCTTGCTTTCGTCAAAGTGAGGCATCTTGTGGGGAGGTGCTATTCTTTGCGGACGCGACAGTGTCACGGTGTTTTTTCTTCTCTTTTTGCAGTTGTTCTTTTGTCTCAATCGCCTCGACGTGTCTCGAATGGAAGAGTTACTACGAATGCAAGGAATTGAGAAGAGGGAAGCAATAAGAGAGGGAAATCGACCAGACGCAAGGGTCGGGCAGCCGTCTAAAGGCAGAAGAAAGGTCTAGTAGTTATCATCACGATGGACGGAACGGAAGCCCAGCATCCCACCCAGCAGCCAACCTCGTCCCCGCAAGCAAAGCAGCCCGAGCAATGGCATGGCCACGAACCTGATGACCTTTTGCAAACGCTCCCCCACCTCCATTCAAAGTCCCTCTCACACAGTATCCCAATGCAAAAATAAACTGGCGGGAAAGGAGCTCTCAGCTATCGAAAGGTAAAGGCGCCACGCGGAGAGAGGTACGTAGCCCCGAAGATCTTGGCGGGGTAAAGGGGACCGGACCTTACCTCCGGCGCCAGCCCGGTACCTCCCACGGTAAAAGATGGTGAAAGACTACATACATACCGGTACCTAGGTGGCCTACCTAAATGCGGCGGTACGGAGGTACATGTCAGGTGCTTTCGCGATCGGGTGCGGGTGCTGACACGCGGTAAGCGACCGTCGGGGCTGGGCGCTTTCAAGTCATGACGCCAACAATACCTCACCAAACCGTTTCGATAATGTGGCTTGATTTTTACCCACGCAGACCCCTCTTTTCCCTCCTCTCTTACTCTCTTACTCTCTCACTCACTCTCTTTCTCTCTCTCTCTCTCTCTCTCTCTCTCTCTCTCTCTCTCTCTACCCGACTCTAGGACCTTTCCTTGCAATGCTTGTATGGTTGAGTCAAAAAGGTTAAGGCTGCGGATAGCACAGAACCAGGGGAGGGCAACCGCCGCCAACCCAATCTCGGTGACATTATGCTTTCATCCGATCCATGTTTCCACATACCCACCGCCAGATTCGACTGATACGATGAACCAAGGTACATACCGGGCTGGTATTCCTCGCTCTTCTTCTCCTCGCCAACCAGCCGACGTGGACGGGCTGCCTAAGTGTCAGTCATCCCCGTATGCGGCCCGCCAGAAACCAACCCCACCCCCCTGGTCTTGTTCTCATCTTTCCCCACGTGGAGTATCTAGATCTCACGATTCGTGTCGATCATTGACTGGGAAAGCTGAGATGAGAATGGGCCGGGTAGTCCGCCGGCGGTTTGCGTGTTGTTGATTGGCTTCGAGACTAACCAGACATCGCTAGACTACGCATCTTGCACCCAGAAGTCGCATATCGATGATGATATCGACTTTTTTTTTTCCCCCTTTCCCGCACGGTGAAACATGGGATTTCTCTAGCTTCTGCCCCGTTTGCCTGCGGGGAAAACGTACGCATTGCACTCCGAATTTAGCACGCAATACATTAATTACCTAGTCCGCGAAGCCGCATTGGCTCCTTCTTACACCGAGAGAGGCACCACCCCGTGGCATGCAGAGCTAGTCTAGACCGGCACCAGTCATCGGAGTATGTAACCGCCTCCGGACGATTGCTATTGGGTTCATTGGTCAATAATGCATCTCATGGCCCTGTCTTACCATTGTACCCGTTGTCGCGACACAGTAACCGCGTGCCCAGGAGAGACTCGACAGGGAGAAGAGACTAGACGAGGACTGACGTTTTGTACCGAAAACACCATTATGCGACCAAAGTCTGAAGGTGATGACGAGTCGAGGGTACTTGCCTTCGTTTCCTCACCCGCCGGTCAAAGGAGGCAAAAGACTGTACCTTGACTCATCTCCGCAAGGCTCTAAACGCTCGAAACAAGACATGGACCTTGACCTTGCTTGTATTTTCCCCGGTCGTTCGTTTTCGTCCGCGATGGAATTATGCTGCTGCTACTCGATCCCTCCCCAGGATGGAGAAAGTCGGTCAATGCTTCGAGGAGTGGACCTAGGCGAACGTTCGAGGCGCAAGTGATGATGTCGACAACCCTCTTGGGCAGTTCGATGCGGACTAGAGTGTATGACTGCGGAAAGAAGCTTCCAAATGTCCCATTCGGGTGCGGTGTGGCCCCGATGCTCATCATGGTCAAGCAATTTATTCAAAAGCCTGGTGTTGGAAGCACCTAGGGAGAGGAGTTTTGTCCTTCTCGTCCTCACTCACACACACACTACTACTCTACAACTCTCAAGATCTTTCCGTCTTGACAACCACCATCATTCTCTCTCCTTCCTTTTCTATCCCCTTCCCGTAGCACCCAACCCCTAACATCCCCCTTCTTATACCCCCATCATTCAAGATGGCCTCCGACATGAAGGCGACGGTAGAGCCCACCAACAAGGGATTCTCCGTCTGCGGCTACGAGAAGATCGAGTATGACTTTGAGTTTCTGGATGGCGTCTTCAACAAGCAGAACAGCCAGCTGGCCGATTGTTACTCGCGCTGGAAGCGGTGCCTGGCCGTCATGGACCTCAACATCTTCAACCTCTACGGCAAGGAGATGAAGGAGTATTTTGACCACTACAGCATCGACCTCAAGATCCACAAGACCATGATTGGTGAGAAGGCCAAGTCCATGGAGACGCTGCTGAGCATCGTCGACTCCATGACCGAGTTTGGCGTCTACCGCAAGGAGCCTGTTCTCGTTGTCGGCGGTGGCCTCGTCACTGATGTTGCTGGGTACGTCGACTAGCCTCCCGTCCAATCTTGCTCCCCCCCGGCGTCCTACTAACAAGCTTCAGCTTCGCATGCGCCGCCTACCGCCGCAACACGCCCTTCATTCGCATTCCCACCACGGTCATTGGCCTGATTGACGCCTCCGTTTCCATCAAGGTCGCCGTCAACTACGGCAACTACAAGAACCGTCTCGGCGCGTATCATGCACCTACACACACCTTCCTCGACTTCACGTTCCTGCGTACACTTCCCACCGCCCAGATCCGCAACGGCTTCGCCGAGCTGATCAAGATCTCCACGTGCGCGCACCTTGAGACGTTCGACCTGCTCGACCGCTTTTGCGAGGAGCTCATCAAGACCGGCTTCGGGCGCTGCGATGGCGCCAGCCAGGATGTCAGAGAAGCCGCTGACAAGATCAACCGCAACGGCATCCACGAGATGTTGAAGCTTGAGACCCCCAACCTGCACGAAATCATGCTAGACCGTGTCATTGCTTACGGCCACACGTAAGTTGCCCCTCGCTGAAGCTAAGCTACATACGAGAGCCCGGGAGCTAACCCGCATGCAGTTGGTCCCCCCTCCACGAGCTCTCCCCTGACGTGCCCTTGCGCCACGGCCATGCCATCTCCATCGACATGGCCTTCTCCGCAACACTCGCCCACGTGCTCGGCAAGCTCTCCTCCGAGGAGCACCGCCGCCTTCTGAACCTGTTCTCCCGCGCCGGTCTCTCCATGGACCACCCGCTCTTCGACGAGGACATGCTCGAAAAGGCGACGTCGGCCATCCTCAAGACCCGCGACGGCCAGCTGCGCGCCGCCGTGCCCTCGCCTCTGGGCCAGTGCGTGTTCCTGAACGACGTCTCCCACAAGGACATGTGCGCCGCCCTCAAGGTGCACAAGAACCTCATGAAGGAGTACCCCCGCGGGGGTGCCGGTCTCGAGGCGTACGTCGACGCCAGCGACACGGGCTACACGATCAACGGCGCTTCCGTCGAGGACGAGTCGCGCACGGGGATGAACGGCGTTGAGAAGGTCGTCGCGAGCGACGATGCCACTTCCTCCAACGGCCTCTCATCAAACGGCTCCTCGACCCCCGAGTACGGCCTGTCAAACGGCAAAAGCCTGGGCCGGGACGGCGCAGAGTACGCTGCCGCCGGCTTCGAGTCCGAAGTCATGAAGAAGCTGGACGGCGGCAAGGAGGGCATCAAAGGTTACGGCAAGGCCCACGTCGAGGTCGAGCACGAGTGCTGCTGAGGACAGCCGCTCGCCGTTCAAACGTTTCATTTGTTATCAACACGGTTCTATCCCGTTCAGGAGCATTGCATCAGAGTTAGGGTCACCCGGATTCGAGCACGGTCCTAGATTTAAAAATTCAAAAATTGGCTGAGAGAGATCCGCTATGTCAGCGACGTACGTCTTGACACCTGTGACGTGATTCTTTGTTCGGGTTCCCCCTCCCAAGCCCTCCATCGGGCTTGGCATGAACATATGTGTGGTGGCTCCTCATAGAAGACTTTTATGCCTCGAACATGACTTGCTCGACAGCTCTGCATCCATCTCGGCTTCTTGCCGCCTGGTTTGACGTTTCCCTCACCCAACATAACATGTCGAGGGTAGGGGATGTAATCTTTTGCGCAGACGTGGCGCCAATGTTCAAAAAAAAGTTTCCTGTAGAAAAAGACATTGAGTGAGCGTGCATTCTTACCGTCCGCTCACACACCCAAAACCAGCTCAGCCTAGACGCCCCCGCGGCCACGCGACGCGACCGTGCAAGGACGCCCCAAGAACAAAAAAACAAAACAAAAAACATCATGCCGCTCCCCGCCCGGCTCCTTGGAAGGGCAGTCGCGAAGACCTTACACGCGGCAGGTTTCCATCGATACCACCCCCCTCCCCTTTCACCGCGCCACAACAAGAGAGAGGGGGCGGGTGGGGCGGCGTTTACGGCGACGCGGGTGTATTTGATGTCCGGCGACACTGCCACAATACTGGCTGATGTCGCAGGTAAGTGCCGCGAGACGCACAGCGAGCAGCAAACCCCCGCCTCCCACCAGCAGGCACCCTGACCCTGCTAGAGGCCAAAAAGAGAAAGAAAAAAAAATAAACAATGTCGGTTACAAACAGTACATGCCCCCCAACCTGCGGCAGCATCTCCATATAGCGCCGCCGAAGTACACGGAGACTCGGACACCAAGACGGGCCCACTTGATTGGCCGGACCCCCGCCCCAGGGATCCGAGCCCGGACCAGTGGGTCGCGCCCGGGTCTTCCGAACGCATGGCTGGTGACCGTCCGAATGCGGCAATCGTTAATGCAACGGCTCCTCGTCGTGGCGTGGGTAGATATCGTCGATGGGGAGGGGAACAAACGTCGTGCAAGCAGCCATTTGGAAAGGGATAGTGATAGGAACCCCGGGTCGTATGGCCGTCGAGAGTCTCGGATGGGTCCTCCTCCTTCGACGTGAAAGGAGATCAGGATGAAAAGGCGAAACCAGCGTATGTAAGTCTTTGCACTGCATCTGCATCTGCCTGTCATCACATCCCTTTCCCACAGCCTCATCTTCAAGTGTTCTCGGGGCTCCACTCCACTTACACGAACCCATGCAAAGCAGTGCCTCGTTTCGATGTTGCTGCATGCACTTCTGCAGAGGGCCCAAGAGCGTCCTGTCTCCTTGAAGCACGAGGTCGGACCTCTTGACGTCAAAACACCAGTCGATGAACGAACCGGTTCCGAGGAAAACATTCGGCCGTTCCCCTCCCCCCCCCCCTTTCCCTCACCACGGCCCCCCCAATGTAAAGCGTAGCCCCCCTTCCTTCTGCCCCCAAAAAAGGTCTAGAAGGCAGCTGTCAAAACTTTACACGGGGAAGGGCGTGCTACAATCTACTTAGACCAGACCGGCCTCAACAGCAGGACCCACGGCACGACGACGACGACGACGACGACGACGACGACAAGGACGACACGCCTCCCCCCCCCAAATAGCTATGGCGGAAAGCCCGCTCCGGACCGACGTGACCTCGACGCCGGATAAGGGGACGATGGCGACGGCGATGACGACGACGACGACAACAACAACAACGCCGGTGCGAAAACCAAAGCTCACGGATTACCTCAGGGTCTTCACCTACGCGACGAAATGGGACTTTTGCGTGTACGTGATCGCGTCGGTGGCGTCCGTCGCCGCCGGCGTGACCCTGCCGCTCATGAACATCATATTCGGCCAGCTCGTCGGCCAGTTCAGCAGCTACTTCAGTGAAGACGCCACCATCTCCCGCGCCCAGTTTGACAGCATCCTCAACCGCCAGGCCCTCTACATCATGGCCCTCTTCGTCGGCCGCTGGGCGCTCAACGCCATCAACAAGTTCTGCTTCAGGATGATTGGCATCCGCCTCTCGTCTGCCATCCGCCTGCACTACCTGCAGTCGCTGTTCGCGCAGCCCATTCACGTCATCGACTCGATGCCCCCCGGCGCCGCGGCGACCGCCATCACTGGAACGTCGGCTGTGTTGCAGATCGGCATCTCCGACCGCCTGGGAACCTTCCTGCAGTTCAACGGTACGATCTGGGCCGCCCTGGTCATTGCCTTCATTTGGAGCTGGGATCTCACTTTGGTGACCTCGTCACTGATCCTGTACATTTTGGTCGTCCTGGGCGTGGTCATGCCCATCATCGTCAAGGGAGAGACCGCGACAAGCGAGGCTGATGCACAGGGTACTGCCATCGCCAGCGAGGCCCTTGGGGGCGTCCGGCTGGTCATGGCTTGCGGTGCGCAGAGCCACATCATCTCCCGCTATGAGGGCTGGGTGCAGGAAGCTATGAAACGAGCTCAGAGGACCGCTCCCGTCGTGGCGGTTCAGTTTGGCCTCATCGTAAGTTTGCTGTTCAATCACCTGAAACGCGAGTCGAGCATGAGTGCTGACGTGGTGACTAGTTTTTTGGCGTCTTCGGCGCGTTCGGTCTAGCTTTCTGGTATGGCACACAGCGGTACATCGCCGGTGCCCTCAACGACGCCGGCGTGGTCGTCGTGGTGCTCATGTCCGTCATGATGATACTAACCTCCTTGGAGCGGATTTCAACACCAATCATCGCCGTCAGCAAGGCCATGGTAGCCGCTTGCGAGCTTTTCACGGTGATCGATGCCCCTCTGCCCCCTGCTGGCACCCTCAAGCCTGAAATCGACTCGGAGGACATTGTGTTTGAAGACGTGACGTTCGAGTATCCCAGCCGAGTCGGCGTCAAGGTCCTGAACTCACTCAACTTCCGCATCCAGCCTGGCCAGAACATAGCTCTCGTTGGTCCTTCTGGCTCCGGTAAGAGCACAATCGTTGGCTTGCTGGAGCGATGGTATTCCCTGAGAGAGCAACACGCGTTGCCACGGGTGGTTGAAGATCAGTCATCAGAAAAGCCGCATGACGAAACAGTGGAGTGCGTCAACGAGGAGCTGAAGTCGCTCATTATGCCCAATCTCTCGGGAACCATCAGCGTTGGTGGTGTAAACATAGAGGACCTCGACCTCAAGTGGTGGAGAGCTCAAGTCGGCCTGGTTCAGCAAGAGCCGTTCCTTTTCAACAACACCATCTTTAACAACGTCGCAAATGGCCTCATCGGTACCGAGTGGGAAAACGAGCCCGAAACCGTAAAGCGAGAGCTTGTTCGTGACGCTTGCCAGGAATCTTACGCCCACGAGTTCATCAGCAGACTGCCCGACGTAAGTTCAAATTAGCGGATATAACGCTGCACCTGATCTATCTCCGTAGAATGCTAATCCGGATCCTCCAGGGTTACGATACGCGGGTTGGCGATGGAGGCGCCAAATTGTCCGGCGGCCAAAAGCAGCGTCTCGCAATCGCCAGGAGTATCATCAAGAAGCCTCGCATCATCATCCTCGACGAAGCAACTAGCGCAATAGATGCCAAAAGCGAAAAGATTGTCCAGGCCGCGCTCGACAGAGTCACTCATGGGCGTACCACCATAACCATCGCCCACAGGCTATCAACAATCAAGAAGGCCGACAACATTGTCGTGCTTCAACGAGGGCAGGCTGTCGAGCAGGGCACCCACCATGGCCTCTTGAGCGATCCTTCGAGCGTCTACAGCTCCTTGGTTCGAGCTCAAGCGCTGCATCTGTCTACACCGGAGAAGTCGGTGTCTGAGGCTTCTGCCTCGGGGCTCGATTCGGAAATGGAGGATAAGGTGTTTATGGATCAAGACCATCGCCCTACGGCAGCCTTCGCGGACACTTCAGAGAACAACGTATCCCATAAGTCTCGTGGCCTGGTACGCAGCTTCGGAAAGCTCCTTTACGAGCATAAAGCGAATTGGATTTCGTACGTGGCCGTCATCTTGTCCTGCATGGCGACGGCAGCAGGCACACCCATACAAGCGTGGCTCTTCTCCAAGGTACTCTCCGTATTTCTCCTGACCGGCGACGACCTAAAGAGACAGTCGGATTTCTGGGGGCTGATGTGGTTTGCCCTCGCCGGGGGCGTTGGTCTGGCGTACATCGCCCAGTGCTGGATTGGCCTGCGTCTGCAGTATTCCGTCAGCGCGGCGTACAAGAAGCAATACCTCACCGACATGCTGCATCAGCACCTCAGCTTCTTCGATGACGACAAGAACTCTCACGGTGCGCTAAGCGCTAGAATCTCGGGCGATGCAAAGTTACTGGAGGAACTACTGGGGCTGAACCTGGCGATGCTGCTTTCCGGCGTCTTCACCGTCGTCGGATGCGTCACCATCGCACTAATCTTCGGCTGGAAGCTCGGCTTGGTCGCCATGTTCATCACAATGCCAATCATGCTGGGTGCAGGGCTATGGAAGTATAGGCACGAGGTGCACTTCGACCAGATGAACATGGCAGTCTTTGGGGAGAGCTCGCAGTTCGCCACCGAAGCGATCGGGGCCATCAGGACGGTCTCCTCCCTCGGCATGGAATCCACCATCAATGCTCGATACGAAAAGCTCCTCAGCGGACACATCCTGGCGGCGCGGCGCAAAGCGCAATGGACGGCCGTGCTCTACGGCTTCGCAGACAGCGTAAGTCTCGGGTGTCAGGCGCTGGTCTTTTGGTACGGCGGTAGGCTCCTGGCCAGTGGCGAGTATTCCATGGAGGCCTTTTTCGTCTGTTTCATGGCCATCATTCAGGGTGCGGAGGCAGCCAGCCAGATCCTGGCTGTGGCTCCTAGCGCGGCGCAGGCGGCGGCGGCAGCCGACCGCATCCTCGACGTCAGGGAGTCTGCTGATGTCGGCCAAGCCGCGATAAGGGGCTGTGAGGAAATAGCCGGAGCCGAGGGCGGCGTCCAGGTCGAGTTGCGAGACGTCCATTTCAAGTACCCCACACGTGACGTTGTCGTGTTCGAGGGGCTGAACCTCGCCATCGAACAGGGGCAATACGCGGCCTTTGTAGGCCCCTCTGGGTGCGGAAAGACAACCATCATCTCGCTCCTGGAACGTTTCTACGAGTTGGGCAAAGGCCACGGGTCAATCCTGTGCAACGGCGTCAACATCCACGACCTTGACGTGTACGACTACCGCCAAAACATCTCGCTCGTCGCCCAGGAGCCCGTCATGTTCCGAGGGACGGTCCGCGATAACATTCTCTTCGGCATCGAGGATCCCAGCTCCATCTCTGACGAGAGGATCCACGAGGTCTGCATTGAGGCCTTTATTCACGACTTCATTGTATCTCTGCCCGAGGGCTACGACACCGACGTCGGCGCCAAGGGCGTGTCCATGTCTGGCGGGCAGAAGCAGCGTATCGCCATCGCGCGCGCCCTGATCCGCGAGCCGAAGCTCCTGCTGCTAGACGAGGCCACGTCGGCGCTGGACTCGGAGTCGGAGAAGATTGTGCAAGCCGCATTCGAGAGGGCGCGCGACGGACGGACCGTGGTGGCCGTGGCCCACAGGCTATCGACCATCCAGAACGCCGATGTTATTTTCGTCTTCAGCGAGGGGAGGGTGGTGGAAAAGGGGTCTCACCACGAGCTCATAAGGAAACAGGGTGTCTACTGGGAGATGGTAACCCCCCCCCCCTTCCTTTCCTTCCGTCCTATCCTTTCCAAGAGCATCATGCTAACAAACGCTCGTAGTGCCAAAGCCAGGCTCTGGACCAATAGGCAGCCGATCAAACGGTTGCTGGGGGAAGTTGGCAAGAATGTTGAAGCCGAATGTAAATGGAGCAATACCAAGAAGCTCCTCGACACAATCATCCTCATCAGGCGTTATATTGTGCCCTGTTTGTCTAGTTTTCTTTTTGCTTTTTCCTTTTTCCATTATGTCTTCTCGTCTGATGGGGGTATCACGCTAGCATCTTAGAAAGCTTGCTTGGGTCGTAGCTAGAAGAACCAACCTTGACTTCGGCATTGCCCCCGTGACCTCCTTGAGCTCCTTGAGGGACTGTGCCTGCTGCTTACTTCCACGACGGCAGGACCGTTGCCGTGTCTTGCGACGACGCCGTGTACAGGTCAAGAAGCAGCAGCCCGCTGTGTCCCGTGATGGGTTGACGCTCCCACTGCACGGCCTCGTCCTCTCCCTGGATCTCGGCCGTCTCCTCCACCAGATGCCACGCGCCCGTCGACTCGTCCCTGTCCTTATACCGCAGCACGACCCGGTCGCCGCCGTTTTCAAACATGAATTCCCGGCGCCACAACCGCTGCCACTGTTCTTCAGGCGTGCCCTCGACGGCATTCAGGCGCTCGATGTGACGGTTCCTCAAGGCGAGGGCGTAGAGGGCGCGCGTGTTCCACAGGCCGTCCTGGCCCGGGTAGTCCCTCAGCATGCAGACGGCCTCGTCGCGGATGACGGGGTCGAGGCTGAAAAGCGACGTGAACAGGATGTACCATGCCAGTCCGCGTTGCAGAGACATCTGGGTCGCCGGGTTTTTCCGGGCTTCCTCCTTGGCCATTGTTAGTGCGATCTGGCTGAGGGAGAGGTATTCGCGGAACAAGGGGGCCAGAGCTGCGACAGAGTCGACTGTGATAAAGGAGACTGCGTTATTGAAAATGTAAGCGCCCAAGAACTCCAAGCGTAGAAGGACGACTCGTAAGTAGCTGGGCGACTCGATGTCGGACGAGAGGATGTTTTTGAAAAGGGGCTGAAACGCGGCGTCCAACCTGTCCATGAAGTTTTGGAAGTTTGTGCAGTACTCCCTGATATGAGGGTTTTCGAGAAGATGGACCTGGAATCGCGAAAATGGGTCGTCGTCATGCAAGCCGTTGACATCCGCGATGCGAACGATGTCTTCCATAATGGAATTCAACGCAGCCTGGTGACGTCGCACGACAGGCCAGGTTTGCTCGAACTCATCTAGACTCCCGAAGACGAGGGGCACCGTGCTCTCGGTGGAGCAATCGCTTTTCATCTGGCTTAGGAGGACCAGGAAAGACTCCATGGTTTGCTTCTTGTTCCTTAAGCTCCTTTTAAAGTCGGGAAGGGGGGGGCCATCGATTATTCTCCCTCGAAAGACGGTGCGAGCTTGTCTGGCCAGTTGGTTAAAGACCTCTGCCACGGCGCCGATGACGGGTCTCGGACTGGGGGCCAAATTGGATAGATGGGTAGCGGCATCTGCATCCGTCACGATGGCCAGCAGCAGAGACAGGGCGTGGTTGACATGGTCCAAGGCAGCCTTTCGGTCACCGCGGAGCGTTTCGAAGAAGAGCAAAAGCACCGACAAGAAGACGGCGTCCTGTAGGGAAGACCGCCTTCTCTGTAGCTTGAGCGAGTGGCAGTAGTGGGCGACGGCCTGGAAATAATGGGCATCTCCTTGGCGAGTCGGGTGATCAGGCGCAGTCACGGCGCGAAGAGATGCGAACGCAGACTGGCGATACCAAACGCTCAGGGCGCCTATGGCCATGGCAGCAGAGCGAAGGGTGGTGTTGTTGCGGGCGAGTTGGGGCAACATAACCAGCCACAAGTCACCACCGGCTGCGGCGCCCATCCAAGGCCCTCTGAGCAGGTGGACAAACTCTTGGAAGTAGAGCAGGCCAGCGTCGTGCGGGAAGTCTCGGGCACTGGTGTCCAGCCTCGTCTGTGCCGCTGGTGACGGGGCATGGGCTCGGCGGACGACTCGTCTGGAGTCCCAGCAGGTTTGACCAGGGGCCGAGGTATTCTTCCTGGGGCCTACAAAGTAACCTTCGCACCGACGTCGACTCTGAAGGCAGTTACCGCAGCGGGGTTTTGCCTCGTCGCATTTGACGTGGCGTTTTTTGCAAGTGATACAGCCGGTCCGTACTTTGGGCGTGCTTGCGCGGGACAGCTTGGGTTTGCGGCCCCCGGTCGGCTCATTCCTCGAGCTGGTGCTGCCTGGCTCAGGAGAGGCGAAGCTGGGACATTGTCAGACTCGGAAACGCAGCTTATACTCTGGTAGTATGAGCATGTCCTACGATTTGTTATTGAGAGGCAGGATTTCCTTGAGCTTTGCCATGTTTGTTTGGGCCTTTGCCTCTTGCTAGTGTCGTTGGCGACAAGTCGACGATGAATGACTGGTCGTGGCAAAGCTGACCAGACGCGAAGGAGGCGGACGGAAGGAACGAGCATCAAGCAAATCAGGCAGCTGGCGACGGCTGCGGTTGGTTGGGTGGCTGACAATGAAGCGTATTCGCTTACGTATAATACAATCGGCTTACCTAGTCAGCCACCTACCAGATAATGTAAGTTGGCTGATTTACCTAGGTAACATGACTATAGGTAGCAGGTATGGACGGGAACATGGTGGTTTGTGATTCGGGTTGTTCTGCCCAGTCCTGATGGTCCATCTCGACAAGCGCGCAGTGGTCTCTCGAAAGATTAGATTTAAGTCGGCATCTGTACGGCTGCAACACGACTTGGTCCGGAAGAGGTGTGTGTGTGTGTGTCCCCGAGATTGTCGTTGGAATGCGGACAATGTTTTTTCAAGTCTATTTTTAATTTTATTTTTTACTGATTTCTAGGAATGAGACGAAAGACCCGGTACCTGCAGCTGTCATGCCGAGGGTCCGTTCACCGACGTCACGACCTACCGTGAGGACGCATCAACACATTGCCTCAGCCGTCTGTTGGTATTTTGGTCAGTCTCGGATCAGACGTGGGCTACGAACTATTTACACAGTACTAGTACTAAAAGGTGGATCTAGTCTGTCAAGAACTCGTATCTGCAAAGGCGAGCACACACACACACACACACACACACACACACACACACACACACACACACACACACACATACACGCTGCGCTTGTGGATGAAGACATAACCCCGGCCGGCCAGCGTGGATGTCACACATGCAGTGTGGGTGGGATCTGGTTGGGGAACGGGGAGGGTTCAGCCGCGGCATGGTGGTTGCTGGGAAAATACGGGGGAGGGGCGCCACGGCATGGCCGGACAAACAAACAAGACGGAGCTATGGAGACCTCTGACCTGACCTGGGTACCGGTACACTATCCGTACACTAGGTCGATTACGTGGACACGCCTGGTTAATGCATAGGTAAGCTGGTAAAGGTACGGTATTTAGGTAGTTACCCCTTTTTACTGTACATACGTTGCAAAGTACTATTACTATGCGCCTAGCATATGTAGTACTTATACGATGTACATCGTAATTGGAAGGCATGGTTGGTACCTGACTGTCTAGGTTGTCTAAGAATATGCAGCCACTCCTCCCAATTGCCTCTTCGAGACCTTTCTTCGCGTCCACTCTTCAAGGTTTCCATACCTTTCCCACCTGCTGCTGCACTGCCCACCACTTCTTCATTGGACCAAGACTGACTCCAATGTAGAAACGTACTTTACCTGGTTAGGTAGTTCAAATGCCTGCTACGGACTGTCTACTTACTTACTTACGTACTTGCTTTCTGAGGGCATGTGCACACACACTGGGATGAGAAACAAAAACAAGTGACGAGGATGGCAAGACGAGTTCCGCCACCGGGTCTAAAGGAACAGGACCGGGTGATGTGATCTGACCGAGCGCCTCGCTCTTTCTTTCTTGTGTGTATGTATGTATGGGCACTCACTCACTGGCTGCCACAGCTTCTCCTTCTTTACCCCTTCATCACCCGCCATTGTTCACTTCTTCTTCTTCTTCTTCTTCTTCTTCTTCCTCTTCTTCTTCACCTCCTCTCTTTACCTAGGTTGTTAACACAATTATTCACAGCTTCCGCCTTCTTTGTACCTACGGCATACCATCCACCCGCCTCTCGTTCACATCCTAGAAGCTGCTTGCCCGTTTGCTTTGTTGGCCTTTTGGGTATCAATACACCATCCCTCTTCTACTATACCGTCAGCTCTCTTCTTGAAACAGTACCCCAACATCTCTTCACTTCAACCCCAACCCCGAGCATTTCCTCCTCTCTGCTAAACGACCAAAAGACCTGGGTTGGCCCAGCACACCATATCCCCCCATCGCAGCCATGCGCACTTCTCTCACACTGACGGCTGTATATGCCGCCGCCACCGCCACTGCCTTCCAAGGCTTCAACTACGGATCTACCTTCACCGACGGCCGTGCCAAGACACAATCCGACTTCGAATCCGAGTTCAAGACCGCAGCCAGTCTCGAGGGTACCAACGGCGCCTTCACCTCTGCCCGTCTCTACACCATGGTCCAGGGCGGAACCACCAACGACCTCATCTCAGCCATCCCCGCCGCCATCTCCACCAAGACGACCCTCTTGCTCGGGCTCTGGGCTTCCGCCGGCGACGCTGCCTTCGCCAACGAGCTCGAGGCCTTGAAGAAGACGGTTGACAAGTACGGCAGCCAGCTCGACGGCCTCGTCGCCGGCATCTCGGTCGGCAGCGAGGATCTCTACCGCCGTTCGCCCACCGGCATTGCCAACGGTGAATATTCTGGCGCCGAGCCCAACACTCTCGTCAAGTACCTTGACCAGGTCCGCGACGTCATCAAGGGCTCGCCCCTGAGCACCGCTCCCCTCGGCCACGTCGACACATGGACTGCCTGGGTTAATGGCAGCAACAAGGCAGTCATCGACGCTTGTGACTGGATCGGAATGGATGCCTACCCCTACTTCGAGAACACCCAGCCCAATGATATTTCTGACAGCAAGCAACGCTGGGCCGAGGCCTTGGCTGCCACCCAAGGTGCCGTCGGCGGCAAACCTGTCTGGGTCACGGAGACTGGCTGGCCTGTCAGCGGGAAGACTGTCGGCGCCGCCGTCCCCTCGCTCGAGAACGCCAAGAAGTTCTGGGACGATGTCGGCTGCCCCATGTTCGGCAAGACCAACGTCTGGTGGTACACCTTCCAGGACTCTTCTCCCACCACCCCCAACCCCAGCTTCGGCGTCATTGGCTCGACTCTGACCACCAAGCCGCTGTACGACCTTTCGTGCGACAAGGCAGCCACCGCCTCGTCTTCCTCTGCCTCTGCCTCGCCCGCCACGACTGTCGCCGCCACTGCTTCTTCTCAAGCTAACGGCAATGCGTCTTCTGCCTCTGTCACTACGACCGGCGGTGGCTCTGGCGGTGGCTCCGGCTCCGGTTCGAACTCTAGCCAAGTAAGCTCCGCCGCAGCCACTGCTACCACGCTGGCAACTGCCGTGCCAACCGGAGGTTCTGGCCCCGACGGAAGCGCCACTGCTACTGTTAGCGCCGCGCCGTCTGCTTCTCGAGGCGCCGGTTCCGGCTCTAGCTCCGGCTCTAGCTCCGGCTCTGGCTCCGGCTCTGGCTCCGGCTCTGGCTCCGGCTCTGGCTCCGGCTCTGGCTCTGGTTCTGGCTCTGGCTCTGGCTCTGGTTCTGGCTCTGGCTCTGGCTCTGGCTCCGGCATTAACCGCCCCGGTACTAATGCCACCGTTAGCGTCCCGACAACGGCACCCACCGCCGTCATTAGCAGTAATGCCGCCGCAACAAGCTTCAGCATGGCTATTCTTGCCGGCATGATTGCCCTCGCCATGTTCTGAGGTCTTGGCACGGTCCAATGGAGCATCTGACTCTCAGCGTCCACAGCGTTGAGCTGCTTACTGTACACTGTTGCAATGGTCAGCTGCGGGGGCCGAATTACACGCCTAAGAATGTGCTGAGGGGAAAAGAGAGCTTTCCCGGGGCTGAGGGGGGTGGACGAAGCTCAGGATTGTCAGTTGGACGTAAGCACCAAGTCCGTTTCGAGGTACATAGCATCCCTACATATGCGAATTAGACGCCACGAATGAAGCAATGAAAAGTTTTTGACCTTTACCAAACCAAAGATCTCTATCGCGTGCTGAAGAGACCATCGTCGGCCACTTGAAAGACGAAGGCAGTGAGGTACATATTGTCTGCGCACTGGTACAATCGGATACGATGAGCCGAGTCGTTGGAGCAGACACACCCGCCGCACATGATTGCATACCCGGGCTTCTATCCGTCCTTGTTCGAAGCCAGCCATGGGCCTCAAAGAGCCGGGGTTGAGAAGTTTGGCCCGGAAGAGAGGGGGGGTTAGGCGGGCGGTGTATTTTTCCGCGGGCGTTTGCCAAATCCCCCATGTCCCTTCTCCGTATTGGCAGTCCCTGTGCACCACTACTGGGGCATGTGTCTATTGTCTGAAGGTGATTGGCAGTTGGCACGGTTCGCCCGGTATCCGTACTGATATCACGTTGACTATACGGAGTACAATACCTTGGGTAACGCAGGGCAGAAGCGGCAACAACACCCCCGCCCATTGCTGGCCGGGAGCGTTATGATCTTTGTATCCTGCTTTCTCAGAGATTTGTTATCAAGCATAGCCCGTTCTGGTCAAGGGGAGGGGGGGCCTTGCATGCATGCATGCTGTGGCAGGTCAGCCTGAGGGAACTCCTATTCCGGTTGCTCCCTCCCATCGCAGCACGTGCTAGATAGGCAGCAACCAATCCAGCAAAAACATGATCTCGACAAGGCTGAGAACAGAAATGCCACATTGTCCTGCTTCAGCTCTAGAGGTTTCCAAGCATCCCGCTTCGAAAAAGTCCGGCCCGTTTCGCAACACGGGGAGGATGCAGGATCCCCCTCTCCCCCTTCGCATAGCATCGCATCAGAGAACCCCGAGACTCTCCTCGACAACCGAGACTCCAGACAGTCGTTACAATTACCTAAAACCCGCCCCCGGTTTCTCAGTTGCGCCAAGCGGACTAGCATGGTCAGCGATAGCTTGCCTGGGACGACGAGGTTCATCCTCAACCAGAGGCCGCGGTTCACCAGGGCCAGCAACCCCAAAGTCCGCACCGGGTGCATCACCTGCAGGTAAGCTTATGTTCGACCCCATGATGCCGGCGCGCGCCTTTTAAAACAAAAACAAAAGAAAACCCACGATAAAATCAAAAAGAAAGAAAAAGAACGTAAAACTCACTGCCGCTAGGAACCGCCGCAAGAAGTGTGATGAAGGCAAGCCGGCTTGCGCGACATGCCTCAAGTATCAAGGGTACTGTCCTGGCTACCCAGCCAGCAAGACGCAACCCACCGCGATAGCCCAGAAGAGCCGGCCCCTCCTCCCCAAGCTAGCGGCGGTGGCGGACCGGGCCGAGTGCGACGGGCTGATGACGCGGCGCCCGAAGTATGCATCCCTCGTCTTCTCCGACCAGCTCGAGAGGGACCACTTCGAGTGCTGGCGGAGGTTCATAGATAGAAGCACCCTGTATCACTGCGAGCTCCTCTCCCACATCGTCCCGCAGCTCTTCTGGAACGACTCGGCCGTCCGGCACGCGACGCTGGCCATCGGTGCGGCGGTCTTCAGCAACACCACGCGGGAGCAACGCATCTTGGGCAAGGGAGGTGCCCACCTGGCCGCTCTGTCGCATTACGGCAAGGCGCTGCGGCTGCTGAATTCGGTGCCCGTCTCCCCCGAGAGGTTCCTGTTCATGTGCATCCTGTTCATGGCCTTCGAGTGCGTCCGGGGCCGCACGGCCGCGGCGCTGATCCACGTCAACCACGGGGTGCGCATCATCGAGCACTGCTTGCACCACCAGCGCGGCGGCCCGCTCGTCTCGTTGCCGACCACCCTCGTCGACAGTTTCCGGCACCTCAACTTCCAAGCCTGGGCCATGAACGGCGTCCGCCTGCAGGAGACGGGCGAGCGCGTGCCGTGGTGCTGCCGTGGGCGCCGGGCGCGGTACGCCGTGCAGGAGATGCCGGCCGCCTTCGAGACGCTCGAGTGGGCCAACTGGTGGTGGAACCAGGTCCGGCACCACGTCGAGCACCGCGCGCCCCTATACAACAACTTCCAGGTCAAGGGGTCCTCGCCGCCCGGGAAGGCAGCGACGACGGCGGCGGTGGACCAACCGCCGTGCGGGCACGGCTCGCCCGAGTACGCGAGGCGCATCCGGACCTTCATGCACTATCTGGACGCGTGGGCCGCTGCCTTCGCCCCGCTCGCGATCAGGGCCGAGGCCGGCAGGGCGGCGAACCCGGCCGAGTACCTCAAGGCGCTCAACCTGCGGATCCACTACCTTTGCCTCTGGACCGGGGTGCGCAGCGCGGGCTGGACCGACGCGGCCGAGACGGCGAGGCTGACGCCGGCTTTCCGCGACATCGTCGCCCTCAGCAGGCGCTTCCTCGCGGAGCAGGCGGCCCAGCGGCAGTCGGATCCGGGCGACGGCGAGGTCTTCACCGTCGAGGACGGCCTGACCTGGCCCCTGGCCTGCTCGTACCGCCTGTGCACGTCGCCCGACGTGCGCCGCGAGATCGTCCGCCTCTTCAGGGAGTACCCGCGCCGCGACAGCCTGCTCGACACCCATGCCTTCCTCGTCATGATGGAGTGGCTGGACAAGGCGGCCTCCGCCGGCATCATCGGCGGCGGCGAGCAGAGCCCCAACGCCGACCGCATCGTCTTCGACGGCGACGCCGTCGTGCTCCGGAGGCAGATCTGGGACTCCGAGGCGTCGAGGTGGAGGAAGAAGAACATCAGGCTCAGCATCTTGTGAGTCGAGGGGTGGGGAGGGAAGGGAAACAAGTAAAAACACGTTTGGCAACTCGGCCGGGAGTTTGCGGTTACTGGTGCAAGCCATGGAATTTTCAGTTATACTCGAGCAGAACGGGGGGGGGGGGGGGGGGGGGGGTCTTGCGGATGACTTGAATCACGAAATAATAGTAATCAAGTAGTAATCACAAGGACCGTTCTCTAACTGCTGGGCTAACATGGTAAACCCAACATTGGAAACCCCCTCATATGCTCTTCTTGTCTCGGGCTGCCAGACGCAACTGCCAAGCCACTCATCTAAAAGCGCGCCTCTCCCCTCCCAGTGTCTAAAGTTTATACGTCGTCGCGTCTCTTCGTCATAGCCCAAGCCGTTTCCAATCACCGCAGAGCGACAGCCCCCTTCCCGCCTGGCTCTCTGTCTCACCGAGCAGCCGTGCGGCCTCGTTACTGCTTCGCGTCCCCGAAAAGCGCCTCCAGGTCCCTCCTCTCGCCGCTGTGATACACCATGTCGTAGAAGACGCCCCTCGCCTCGTACAGCTCCGCCGGCCGCCCGGCCTCGACGACCCGCCCGGCGCCCATGACCACCACCGTGTCGTAGTCCGCGATCGTCCGCAGCCTGTGAGCGATCGTCACCAGCGTGCGGTCGTCGTCGACCTCGCGCCGCAGCACCTGCTGGATGCCCTTGTCCGTCTCGTAGTCCATGCTCGCTGTCGCCTCGTCCAGCAGCATCAGCCGGCTCCCCCGGACTAGCGCGCGGCACAGGGAGAGCACCTGCCGCTGCCCGTGCGAAAAGTTCTCGCCCTTGGCGTTGACCGTCGTCGAGAGCGCCAGGCCCGACGCGTCCGGCTCCGACGCCGCCGTGGCCGCTGCCGCCGCTGCCGCCGCGTCGGCGTCCTCCTCCGAGTGGTACTGGAACGACGCGATGCCCTGGCACGACTCTAGCGCCCTCTCGAGCACCGGCGCGGCGATCTTGCCCGTCGGGTCGAGGTTCGACTGCAGCGTTCCGTTGAAGAGCACGGCCTCCTGCGGTATGATGGTCAGCGCCTCGCGGAGACGGCGGCGCGGGATCTTGGTGATGTCAATGCCGTCGTATAGGATCTGGCCCGAGACGATGTGCGTGAAGCGCAGGAGGGAGAGTACAAGCTACGGCAGAGGGTCAGTCGGGGGCATGGCTTCCGAAGGGGGTGTATGACAAGGGGAAACGGGAAAGTACCGTAGACTTGCCGCTGCCGGTGCGGCCCACGATGGCAACTCTCTCTCCGGCCTTGAACTTGAGGTTGACGTCGGTGAGGATGTTGGGCCCGTCCTCGTCGTATCGGATCGTGACGTCGCGAAACTCAATCTCACCGGTTGACGGCCATTTCTTGGGCACAACGTGTGAGGGGTTATCTGTGTACTCGCCCTCTTCGGGGTAAGAGTCGTCTGTCTTCTCCTCGGCCTCGAGACCGGCGTACTCCTTGATGCGGACGAACTAGTCCTTGTCAGTGCTTGGATAGCCATCCATCGTTACACCTGTCACTTACACTTTGCAGCTCAACCTCAAGGTCGTTCATGCTGCGAACCAGTTGCAGGATAGTCTGACTCAACCCCGTGGCGTTTTGTAGGGAGAACCCCACGAGCCCGGCGCCCACAAGACCGGCCTTGGACACGGCGATGATGCCCGCGCTCAGCCCGACCAGAGCAGTCACCACGTCCACACGCATGGCCACCCATCGGTTACAGTTGAAGTTGGCCTCCGCCGCCCGCGACCAGACACGCATCTTGTCCGCCAACGCGTCGCCAAACATCTGCGGCATGCCGCTCCTCGCACGAATGATGGCCAGCCCGGCCAACGTATCCGCAAACTGAGAGAAGATGGGCGACTGCGACGACGCCACCAGGCGCTTGATCGTCACTGCGGTGCGCGTGTATATCTCACCCACTACGATGCCGATAGCGCAGGTCACAGCCGCGGGGATTATGAAGACGGGCATGATGGAGCTGATTGCGAAGATACGAATCACCAACGAGATGGCGCACTCGAGGAACGCGCGGAGCTGCGGGCTTACCGTCAGGTCGAGGGACGACATATCGCTAGAGAATCGGTTGATGATGCGGCCGACGGGCGTCTTCTTGTACCACGTCAGCGAGACGCGCATGACGGCGCGGATGAAGTCGTTGTGCAGCTTGCGGGCGGCGTGCCACGCGCCATTCTCGAACACGAGGAAGACGGCGGCGTAGAGCACCGACTCGGCGACGGTGAAGGCGGCATAGATGCCGAGATAGAAGGCGATGTCGACGGCGACCTCCTTGCTATATGCCTCTACCCAAACAGAGAGCCAGAGGGAGCCGCCCATGACGGCAAGCTGCGAGATGAGCATCATGAACATGCAGAATATGGCGTACCATGGGCCGCCGAAGTAGGTCATGTACTTGAAGACTATTCGCCAATGTCAGTTGGACCTTTCGAGATGCTAACAAGAACACTTACACATCAAACGCGCGCTCTTTCCGCTAGCATTCATTTCCTGAGTCATCGCGTCTTTGGCCCCCTTGTCGTCCGCGACTTTACTCCTGTCGTTGAGAGAATCTGTTTGCGTTTCGACTTCCGTATCCGAGTTGTCGGACCCGTCGGTGATGTCGCCCTCAATGTCCTTGGAGACAGCGACGGGGTGCCTGGCTACGCCGATGTTCTGTTGGACGTCCTTGATTGCGCCATTCTCCAACGTCACGACAACTTCCGCTTGCGCGGCTACCCACGGCTGCTGCGCTACCAAAACAACGGTCCGACCCTTGAGCAAGTCGGAGCAGAAACACCGCTCCCAGAGCGAAGCGGCAGTCTTTGCATCGAGGGCCGAGAAGATGTCGTCGAGAAGGAGCAGCGGCGCCTTGGAGTACAGCGCCCTAGCCAGGGCCACGCGGGCCTTCTGCCCTCCCGACAGAGAGGCACCGTTCTCGCCGACAACGGTCTGGTCACCGCTTTCCATCTCCCTCAAGTCGACCGGCAGGCAGCATGCGTTGACGACATTGTTGTAGCGCACCGCCTCAAAGGCACTATTGAAGAGGATGTTGTCCTTGATACTCTCGTTCTGGAGCCATGCCGTTTGTGACGCAAACGCGACGTCCTTCGGTCGGGTGATTGTGCCGCTCTCTTTGATCGTTTCTCCCAGTATCGCCAGCAGCAAGGTCGTCTTGCCGCTGCCGCTGGCGCCCGACACAACGTTCACGCCACCCTCTACGAAACCAATCGATATGTTCCTGAGCTGGAACGAGGCCGTCTTGTTCCGCCTAAACGTGGCGTCCTGGATCTCAAGAGCCCCCTCGGGATACTCCTCCAGCGGGGTCGTGGTCTCGAAGTACTGATCCAGACGGCCAATGGCAATCATGGCGCTCGTGATGTTCCTCGACATGAAGCCGAGCTGTGTCACGTTGCGACGGATGGTCTTGACGAGATAGGTCGTCGTGAAGGCCGTGGCGGCTGTCAGGGGCTGCCCGCACACGCCCACGTAGAGTGTGAACATGGCAATCATGGCAATGTAGGGCATGAGGGCGGTGATCTGGTTAAGGGTCACGTAGATGAGCGACACACGCCACAGATCCCGCTGCTCGTTAGCACGCGTTTCCTCAATGGTTTTGATAATGGCATCCTCCCATGCAAAGTACTTGACCGCACGGATGGAGGCGAGGTACTCGGACACGAGCGAGATGCGAGAGTCCTGCGCCCTTCTTGCCTTTCTGGTCTGTCTGGCCATCAGTTGTGCCACGATCACGGATATGGGCGCGGCGAGGAACAGGATAGCCGTGCCCACGAGGGCGGGCCATCCGAGCATCTTGTAGAGGCCAATAAAGGCGATGACGGTGCCTGTGGACACGCCCATGGAGACCATGACGATATCCCGGGAGCCAAAGATGGCCTGGACGTCCGCGGCCATGAGGTTGGCCAAGCGGCCGGCCGAGGTCGTGGACCGGCCCGGCTTCCCATCCTTCTTCTGCTGGGCTTTTCCGGAATCCTCCTTGGGAGCGAAGATGTCCTCCTCAAGCTCCATAGAACCCATGGCCCGGTGGTACAGCTCCTGAGTCAGGGCGGACCTTAGGCGCACCACCAAGCGAGTCGACGTGAAGACGTACTGCTGGAACAAGACAGAACGCGACAGCGGGCCGCAGAACATGAGCACCAGCCAGAGCCACGGCCGGATGAGAGCGCCCTTGGGGTCCGCAAGATATGCCAGCAGCTGATACAGACCATAAGGCGCAATGAGCTCGCAGGCGTACGCACTGGAAATGTAGCAGGCCATGAGCGTCACCTCGCTGCGCAGGAAGTAGAAGAGGGTCCAGGTTGTCGTCACGCCCTTGGCCCTCGCCTTCTTGATCCTTTCCAGGAGAAGCAGCGGCTCGTCATACCACGGCAGCTGGGGTAGGTCTTCGAGGACAATGTCCTTCCGCATGCCTTTCCACAGCAGCGGCGTGAGCCACTCAAAGGTGAGGTAATACGTCGCCCAACTGCAGGTCTCCTCGGGCGCGGGCCCGCGAGCTGCAAACTCTTCGGGCACGTCGTGCATCAGCGACGGAGGTACCCATTCCCGCGGCGTGGTGATGGCGACGACGACGGCAACTGCCAAGCTCACGAGACCGCCGCGGACCGGGGTCGCAATGGCGCATTCGTTTGAGGCCTCAATGCACGGCAATACCGATGACGCGGCTAGAATCAATACCTCGGCCGAGACGACAAAGTTGACTTGATACAGCGCGACATGCCGCCACTGCAGGTCGTTGACGAGTCTCGAGAGGCCGAGAACGAAAGCGTAGGCCACGACCAATGCGTTGAGCCACGGGGTCTGGCCGCGAGCGCCGGCGAGGGCGAGGAAGGCAAGGGCAGCGGCGCGGGACAGTTGGGCGGCAAGCTCCCAGGGCCATCGAATGGCTGCGGCTCGGATGTAGGGCCGTGATGGTAATGACGACAACGGCCTAGCGTGGCGGCGGCGGAAGAGGCGGGAGGTGGTCCAGACGGCAGAGAGGACGAGGATAAGCACCTGTAGGTAGCCGGAGTCGGTGAACTCGATGACGTCGTCAACCCAGGGGAGTTGCCCGTGGCTATTTGGGGGTTTGTCAGTTTGTTTGAGCCCATGGATTTTGATCCGGGGTAGAGTGTGTTGAGTGAGGGTGAGAGTGAGTGAGCGAGCTTTGCGCGTGCGCGCTTAATGCGCAATGCGCCTCGAAGTTGAAGAGAGAGATCCGGGTAGGCAAAAGCCCATCCATAGATGCCATATAACCAGCGGGAAAGCTTTGCGACGGCTGCAATGGGCCGCCGACCCTGGCCTGGGATATTTCACCGGTACAACTCATACGAAAAGAAAAAGACAGAAAAAAGAAAGAAAGAAAGAAAGAAAAACTACACAGTAAACACTTACCTCTGGATATTGACCAGCAGGGTCTGGGAATGCGAGCGCGCCACGGCTGCGAGCACAAAGGCTCGTTCGTAGAAGAAGTCCATCGCTACCGTCATCGGAGGAACGGCGAAGACCCTTGAGGCGCCGTGGTGTGTGTCCAGGTCGTGCGTGTGTCCCCGGACTCCTCGCGGTTTCGCGATGTGTATGTGAGTGAGTAGGGCGGGTTTGCTGTTTGATTTGCTACGAGCACGTCATGAGCGAGCGACTTGGTGGAGAGAGCAAGCACGTATGGCATGTATGTATGGCAACAAAAAAAATCCCGTTTAAACGCGAGTGATGTCTATGGTCTGGTCTAGGGACGGCCAAGCAAGAAGACAAGTAACAAGCAAAGACAGCCCAAAAGACAGCGTGTGAGAGAGAGAGAAACGATTTTCCAAAGAATGACGTCCAGAGAGCAGTGTTGAAGATGGTGAAATGGACATTCCCAGACGGTCGGATTTGGAAGCGATGGGGGTTTGTCAAGCACCCCAGCAGGGGAGTGGAATGAGGAGAGCAGACGAACCAGGCCAGGCCAGGCCAGGCTAGGCTACCCCGGCCGAGCAGGCAGGCACCGATGTGGATGCCTTCGTCCCCTTTCGTCGCGTGCAGTTCAGTCGCCCGGGGGAGGGTCCGGTTCCTGGCATTTGCTACGAGGCGACTGGGCACGAACATGGCAGCGGTGGTGGTGGCGGCAGCAAAACACAATTCTCGCGCGCGCGCGGAAGCAGCTTTGCCGGGCTCGGGACCGCTGGGTGGGGGTTGGAGTGGGGTCTATCTGTACGTGGTGGACCCCAGACACTTCGGAAGCGGCACCGGCGTGTTGTCTTGTCTTGTCTTTGTGTTGCGTTGCTCGTGGTGCAGTGTAGTGCAGTGTTTCTGGAGAGACCCAAGATGCCAACGAATCGACGCTAGGTTTCGATCGGTGAGCGCCGGAAACGCCCATTGTTCAGGAACCCTTCAACCCATCCCCCTCCGATATCGCGCTTCCTCCCTCCTCCCTCACCCCAAGAGCAAGACCACGATAGCAAAAAGAGTGCCTGAAACGGTGAGCGGTCTCTATCTCTCTCTCTCTCTCTCTCTTCCCTCCCCCCTGCAACATTCCACCGCTTTCCTAGCTCCCGCGGTGGCTTGTCGTTCCGGGTCGTTTCCCATTGGATCCGGCGAAAGCTGGAGTACCTGATGCATGAAGGGAAAGGCCAATGTAAACGGCCAACCAACCTCTCTCCAACATCTGTCTCTCTCTCTCTCTCTCTCTCTCTCTCTCTCTCTCCCCAGTCAAGCATCATGGTTCTTCCAATATGCGGTGTGAAACAGAAAGCCACAAACACGTAGCCCGAGCCCCGGCAGCCGCCGGTTGTCTAACGAGGGCCGCACCCTTTTTTCTTTTTTTCTTTTTTTCGTCCCTGGTCGCCCGTGTCCGTCTCTTGTCGGGTCTCACGTCTGTTCGTGTTTCGCCTCGATTCATCAGTTGGCGGTCAATTAATTACTTGCGTGTGATGGCCTACGCGAAACCTTGCCCGTCAAACCCAGCATCCCCCGCCGTCGCAAACTCATTCATCTTCCCATCAGATATGGTGAAATATTGCCTCTCTGTCAGACTGTGTCCGGCGGCCCACAACACTCCAATACCGGCGGGGGGTGGTGGTTCAGCTATCAGCCGCCAGGGATCTATCTATCTCGTCTGCCTCCCCCAAAAGAGGCAGGTCCTGCTCGTTCTCATCTGATTGGATAAACCGTGAGCCACCACGAAACTATTATCCTAGAAGAATCGGGCACTGCTGTTGCTCGTCCCTCCTCATCGCCACACATTCGGCATGCCTCTTGGCTGATCAACAACACGTCGTCCCCCAAGGTAGGCACACGAAACTACTCTTGTTAAGTATATACTCGCAACTACCTATTCAATTTTTGTGCCACGCTTTCGCCCGTCAAGCTCCCGTTCATTATATGTACCTTGTTCAATAATCTATCAACCCGCCCCGAACCGGGGCCTGGGAGCACTTTCACTTCCAGTAAACGCCAGCCTACCCGTTCCCTTGGACTTTCCCATCCCTTACATTTTGACGCCCCGAGTAATGCATTATCGTCCCCTGTTCGTGCCAAGGCCAACATTAGGGCACGTCAATCTCCCGAACATGGCCGACGTCGTGGCTTAGTCTAGTCTGCCTTGATGGCACTGTCGCCGTGTTAGCTTTGCCTAGACAATCCGGGGTCGAGTGACACGACACAACTCACCCGTAGATCCTCCTGACGAATGCGTACGCGCTCAGAAACCCGATGGTGCCCGTCAGGAGACCGTACATGCAGCATGCCATGAAGCTGTAACTGAAGAAGAGCATGCTGCTCACGAAGCCGGTGATGTGCAGCTTGAAGAAGTAGTACCACACGCAGTACAGGAATACCCACACGGCGCTGCCGCCGCCCACCATGAACGACTGCCACCACCAGTTGTAGTTCTCCGAGCAGAGCTGAACGTAGATCGTCACCACCGTCACCTCGGCAATCGTCAGGATGAGAATCACCGATACGACGGCCAGAAACCCAAACACGTAGTAGTAACCGCTCTTGTCTTGCCACACCGACTGAAAGACGAACAGCAGCTCAATGAAGATGACGGCAAAGGGAATGAGTCCCGCGAGGAGCACCGACTGCCACGGCTGGATGTACCATGCCTGCTGTGGGACCTGGCGGGGGTTCGTGCTCGTCTTGGTCGGGTGCTCCCAGCTTCCGCCGCGGACGAACCCGAACCAGGAGCCGCCGTAGACCAGAGGCACCTGGATGCAGAGCCACAGAAAGACGATGCCCACGACGGTTCCGAACGGAATGGCTGTGCTGGAAGCTTGTGCCCACACAAAAAGGTTGAGGATGAAGACGATGCCGAAGAGGAGGCCTGGGAACAGGACGGCCGTGACGAGCGCGTTCTTTCTGAAATCCTGTCCGTCAAACGTCTTGTACACCCGCGCCGAGAAGTACCCGGAGAAGAGGCCTGCGAAGACAAAGAGGCCGACACCCACGCTGATGAATCCACCACGGAAACTGGGATTGAGGATGCCCAGCGCGCTCAGCAGAACGAGCCCCACCGCCATGAAAAGGAGTTGCATTCCCGATCCGACCAGGGGCGCCAAGAGGTATCCGTACTGGGGCGTCCTGAAAACATCGGCATGCAGAAGCTTCCAACCCGTGACATCCTCCAGTGCCTCGTCGTCTGAAGACACATCCGCGTCGTTTTCGACGTCGTTTCCCTGATCGAGCAGCCCCCCAGTCTTTTCCGACAGCTTGGGAGATCTGCTGCCCGTCTTCTTGCGCTTCAGCCTCGGCTTGCCGTCCTCGAGCGGGACCTCCTTGTAGCCCTTGATATCCGAGCGGATCGTCCTAGCCAAGATCATAAGGACAATGCCGGTGAGAAGACCGCAGATGATGAGCGAGTTGACGATGGCCAGCCAGTGGATCTTCTGGCCCTCCTCTTGGTTCACAAAGTACAAATCCCAGCGTCGCGACCACTCGACGTTGTTGTCTTCGCGGAAGTACACAGAGTACGTGTAGGGGATGATAAGCTTGGCGTCGTCGTCGAGGTCTTCTTCGGCTGCGGGGTAGTAGGAGGAATCGAGGTTATGCTTCGACGTGTCGGACGACTTGTTCGGGGCGAGGTATAGCTCAAAGTTCTGGTCAATGTTCTGCAGGTCCGCGGGGCAGCCCTTGTCATCGCGCTTGTTGCTGGGGCCGATGCTCTTGGGGTACACCTCGAATCCCACGACGACCTTTCCGCCGTGTTCGCCGGCCTTTCCAGGTGCCTTGCGCCAGCGGATGACGATGGTGTGGTGGTTGTTGATGAAGTAGCGCGGCTTGCCGCTGTTCGCCGAGTAGTCGGTGAACCCGACCTTGAAGCCGGCGGCGTAGTACTTGCGGCTCTTATCGACCGTGACGAAGCTCGTCGCACCGGGAAGGTTGTCGACGATCCACTCGGTGACGTAGCCATCTTGTACCATCTCTTTGGCTCTGCGCATCTCCTTCCTGCTGATCTCGCGGTTGCACAGCAAGTTGCACGGCTTGTCTTGGCCGACGACAAGGTCAATGTCGGACGTCCTTATCCTGTCGCCGCGGAGGACCTCGCCGAGGTTCAGAGGGATGCTCTGTCCGCTAAGCAAGCCAGTGCCGGGTTTCCGCTGGCCTGTCGGTGGGCACACGAAGGGGAGGTCGTAGTAGGCATACTGCAGCTGGGTGTTGTCCGAGTAGACCTTGTTGACCAGTAAGGGTATCTGCTCGCCGTCCTTGTAGCTCTTGATCGACCAGCCTGTTGTCCGTTATAGTCAGCACCGTTGCTTTTGGCATGTCATGGTCCGTGACTCCTAGGGGGGAGGCGCCGAACCTGGAATGTAGAAGGCGTCAGCCGGTGTGGCGAGCAGCAGGGAGACGATGCATCCCAAGCCTGCCTTGAGCACCTGTCGCATCGTGATGTGTCTGGTCGCGAGTCGTCGGCTGTGTTCGCATGTACCGCAGTCAACAGCTCTCAGTAGAAAAGACGAGTGTCTGCAATGAATATGGCCGACTTATCGGCTGGTTCTTCAATGGGTGATGGTAAGTGACTGGAGGGATTGAGGACAAGGACGCGATCGAAATAGAGGTAAAACGATGGGTCGCCTTCAGTCGAAGGTCCGTGGTGGCTGCACGGGTGTCTCTCCGCGCCACGACGCCGCAAATGGGGGGAGGGGAGCACCAAAGACTAGGGGGAGAGGAAGAGAGAGGAAGAGAGAGAGAGATATAGAGGAGAGAGAATTTGGGGAGAAGACGAAAGGGTTGCGTGGGAGAAACGAGTGGAACTGGTACCAAGTACCAAAAAGAAGTCGGAAAGTGTCAAGCTCGAAGTTGAGAAGGCAGTATCGTTCGGAATGACACTACTCGGCCACGGAAATGTTCCTCGAGGCAGGATCAACCTCGAGCGGATTTGCAACCTGCATTCAGAGGAGAGGAATGACAGTCGACGGAATGGCGCAAGAGATGGGACGGGGAGGGAATGAGGAAGAAGAGGCAATTGGAAGAACGAGCGAGCTAGACCTGGACGGATACGGGGGCGGGCGCACGGTCCAAGGCTTACCTTACCGTAAGGTAAAGTGTGTTAACCACCGTCACGGCATAACTAGTGTAGTGCAGCTCGTCGGTTACATTTTGTCCAGAGATGTCGTACTTGCCATCGTAGGCATCGAGTACCCCGTTCCACCCTCGTCCATTCAGCATCTCATATGGTCAAGGATTGCTTATCTCACCATGTTGCTCCCAAGACACTCGGCGGCGGATGCTTATCGCCATCACTTAGTGCAGCAATTCCTC